TCTTTGCGGCATGCTTGAATATATTTTTCATAGGATTTTCACACATTTCTTCCCATACTGGTACCAAAACTACAACATTACAAATTTTGTACATTATCAAGACAAAGCTCTTACATGACACTATTAGAAACCGAAAAGCGTTTTTTAATATCTTTAATTATTAAAAAGATGTGACAGTTTAAATAAGACGTGAAAAAATCAAAATTTTCACTCATTTTCAACTTCAAACAGCCACGGAATTGTAAAAACAGCATCAAATGACCTGAAATTTGGCATAGAAGTCAATTTTGATGTCCTCTACAAGAAAAAATAACCCTGAAAGCGTAGTTCAAAACTGTTCAAAAATTTCCTTAATTGCCGCTTTTTTTCAATTTTGCCCCACAGTGCAAACCAAACTCACTTTGTGAAAATAATTCTTCATGAAATCTCCAAACAATATATGAAAATTGTCACTTTCTGGATTATTTGCTGATTTTACTGGATCTTTTGGTTCCAAAAGTTTTGAAATAAAGACACGGTGCAATGCTTTTTAGAGTTCTCATTCGAGAAAATGTTTTTAATGATCATTACGTTTACTTTTTGTTTTAAAACTCATAACTCAATTTTGAAAGAAACTAGTGTATCGGGTAGAAACCCAATGCGGATATATTCAAGAATTGCTCAGCATAAGTTTGAAGGGTGGGCGTGAAGTACGGCCGAGACCCATATCGACACAGTTTAAAAGTTATACCTAATTTATGTCATAATTATGTCAGCTACAAAAACACTTAGTTTGAATTTTGTCACCCTCGGGAACACTATGAACCAGTATAGCTGATTTTGGTCCAAATCTCGGCCATATTTTCTCGTAAATGTTAAAATATTATTAAAAAGTAATTAATCCTGAATAATGTCGCTATTTTGTCAAGTGTTTTAAGATAAAGAATTTGTTTTTTGGTTTCCTTAGTGAAGAGTATGAACAAAATTCAGATGGGATAGTCGAAATTTTAGATTTCGATTTTTTTAAGCTATGCATTACAAAAAGTAATAATGGTATGTGATTTATGTCAAAATTATGTCAATTCAAATAAAACATCCAAAAAATGTTTTTGACCAAAGTAAACCATAGAAAATCAATTTTCAATTTTGGACTAGGGGCGACCCTAGTCAAAATCAATTTTCTCACTTTTTTCTTCAAAGGTTTATACAAATGAATAGAAACTTTGCATAAATATTCTAGTGCTTAAATCAAAAACAAAAATAAAACATCCTAAAATTTTTTGAGCAAAGAACCAAGCAGGAAAAACATTTTCAATTTTGGACTACGGACGACCCTAGTCAAAATCAATTTTGTCACTTTTTTCTTCGAGGGTTTATACAAATGGATTGAAACTTTGCATAAATATTCTAGTGCTTAAATCAAATACAAATAAAACATCCTAAAATTTTTTTGAGCTAACAACCAAGTAGGAAATACATTTTCAATTTTGGACTAGGGACGACCCTAGTCAAAATCAATTTTGTCACTTTTTTCTTCGAGGGTTTATACAAATGAATTGAAACTTTGCATAAATATTTTAATGCTTAAAACAAATACAAATAAAACATCCTGAAATTTTTTTGAGCAAAGAACCAAGTAGGAAATACATTTTCAATTATGAACTTGGGACAGATCTATTCAAAATCTAGTTTTTCCCTTTTTTTCCTCGAAGGTTTATCCAATTACAATTACGAAGGTTTATTTGTATTTGTTTTAGGCATTAGAATATTTATGCATAGTTTTAATCCATTTGGATAAATTCTCGAAGAAAAATGTGACAAAATTGATTATGACTAGGGTCGCCCCTAGTCCAAAATTGAAAATGTATTTCTACTTGGTTCTTTGCTCAAAAAAATTTTAGGATGTTTTATTTGTAATTGTTTTAAGCACTAAAATATTTTTGCAAAGTTTCAATCCATTTGGATAAACCTTCGAAGAAAAAAGTGACAAAATTGATTTTGACTAGGGTCGCCCCTAGTCCGAAATTGAAAATGTATTTCCTACTTGGTTCTTTGCTCAAAAAAATTTTAAGATGTTTTATTTGTATTTGTTTTAAGCACTTAAATATTTATGCAAAATTTCAATCCATTTGGATAAACCCTCGAAGAAAAAAGTGACAAAATTGATTTTAACTAGGGTCGCCCCTAGTCCAAAATTGAAAATGTATTTCCTCCTTGGTTCTTTGCTCAAAAAAATTTTAGAATGCTTTATTTGTATTTGTTTTAAGCATTAGAATATTTATGCAAAGTTTCAATTCATTTGGAAAAACCCTCGAAGAAAAAAGAGACAAAATTGATTTTGACTAGGGTCGCCCCTAGTCCAAAATTGAAAATGTATTTCCTGCTTGGTTCTTTGCTCAAAAAATTTTAAGATGTTTTATTTGTATTTGTTTTAACCACTAGAATATTTATGCAAAGTTTCAATTCATTTGGAAAAACCCTCGAAGAAAAAAGAGACAAAATTGATTTTGACTAGGGTCGCCCCTAGTCCAAAATTGAAAATGTATTTCCTGCTTGGTTCTTTGCTCAAAAAATTTTAAGATGTTTTGTTTGTATTTGTTTTAAGCACTAGAATATTTATGCAAAGTTTCAATCCATTTGGATAAACCCTCGAAGAAAAAAGTGACAAAATTGATTTTGACTAGGGTCACCCCTAGTCCAAAATTGAAAATGTATTTCCTTCTTGGTTCTTAGCTCAAAAAATTTTAAGATGTTTTGTTTGTATTTGTTTTAAGCACTAGAATATTTATGCAAAGTTTCAATCCATTTGGATAAACCCTCGAAGAAAAAAGTGACAAAATTGATTTTGACTAGGGTCGCCCCTAGTAGGGTTTGGGGAATCTGTTCACAGAAAACAGAAAAACAGCTGTTTTTCGACAAAAATCTGTTAACAGAAAACAGGTCTCAAAAACAGATCTGTTTTCTGTTTTTCATTTTTACATAAAATTTACAGAAAAAAAAAATTTCTTAATTTTTTGAAGAACTTAATATTTTTTTCTAGCATTTCAAATTGAAATGTATTTACTATTTTAATATTTTTTGGATATTTAAAAGGTTTGAAATCATTATCAAATTTATGGTTAATCATTATTAATTTTGCAATCGAAATTTTAAATTTGTTGAAACTTTTGTAGTATTTACTAAAGTTTAGAAATATAATCAACAATTTTACAAGATATTTTTTTATTCAGAAAGATTTTTTGAATATTTCAAATAAAATATTAGAGCTTATGGAACTTTTACAATGCAACAATGCAATGTTACTTAAAGGTATAAATTTTTTTGGATTTTTTTTTTGCATTTTTATATTTCATTATATTTTTTAGAGTTAATTAACATAAAAAAATAAGAAAAAATAATGCTAAGCTCTAAAATGTATGCTTAACTGCTTATAACCACCTGCTTATATCTTAGAGAAACACTTAGGATAACTCAGTTTATTTTGAATTCTAGAAAAACAGGAAAACAGCTGTTTTTAAAAATCAAAAACCGAAAACAGACTGTTTTCAAAAACAGCTGTTTTCCACAAACCCTAGCCCCTAGTCCAAAATTGAAAATGTATTTCCTTCTTGGTTCTTTGCTCAAAAAAAATTTTTTCATCCAAAGTTTAATTTAAAAAAAAATCACAGTGAACTTTTAATTTGAAAAATACGTAAGAAAGGAAAGTTTTTTGCTTTTTCTGAAGCAACGGCTGTTCCTACCTTGCCCAAAAACAATACAGCTCTTCTATAGAGCAGCTAGGATCAAATGTAAAAAACTAGAAGTCTCTACGATGTCTCGTTATTGAGATTTCTTGCTGATTAACTTGCTTGTTTGCTTGTTTGCTTGCTTACAGAAAGCATATTTTGCGATTTTCTCAGCAATGCCGCAACCAATTTGAAATCTGTTTTTTTGCAAAAGATGTGAAATTCAATGCACAAACTTTTCATCTCTGAACATTTTAAGCTATCTTGCTCCATATCCTCACAAAATTCTAAAAACTGATTTTTCAATCTGAACAAAACCAATAGATTCACACGTGAAAACGGTGTGAATATAAAAAAATTAAACTCAAAATTCAACTGATTTTTTAATGTGATTTAAAATCAAATTCATATTTCGATTTATGAAATGTGATTTACTCATTAAAATCTCCCCACCCTGCACAATGATTCAGAATCGAAAAAAAAGGTTCATAAATTCAAAAATTTCATGTTAATTAAACTTTGTCTTTTAAATGCAGATAATTTAAGCTTAGCTTTACATATTAAAACAATCACTTTAATAGAAATCTGCTTATTAAGCCATAAAAATGCAATTAAAATCTGAGTATTTTTACAAAACTTAAACTATTCAAAAGCTAAAAAGTCTTCCAAAGACCTCTCTGAAACCTATACAAATCAATTGATTAAGCTTAAATCTATCTCCCATATTACTGAGGACATGCCGTTTTCGAGATATTTGCGATCAAAGTTTATATAAATTTTCATACAAAATTTGATCATGCACAATATTTTTTGGTAAACTTTCACAAACTTTTTGTAAAAAATCATGTTTATTCATCCTTTATATTAAGGACTGATTTTTTGAGAAATGAACGAAAACATTATGTAGAAGATGCTAAAAGAATCAAATCAAGAGAAATTAACAAAAACTGTCAATTTTCTAATGTGTCGGAAAAATATTGTGCACAAGGAATTTTTGAACATTTTTTCCGAATCTGAATCATTGTGCCCTGGTCGGGTCTTATGTTAACAAATATTAATTTATCTGACGCTTTAATTTCACGCTCAATACTGACAAATTAATTTTCACCTATAAAAATTAAATATATGAGACAAATAAAAAATTGTGTTACAGATTAAATTCTATAAATGGTTTAAAAAATTGAAGTACCCTTATTTTAAAATTCGGGGAGTCCCATAGATTACATTTATTATTTTAAAAACCTTATCAGCAAAATTTTTATTTCTCAAACCAATTAAATATTGCAGCAGTTTAATAAGAAAGCTTGTAGTGAAAAGAAGCTAGATAGGCAAAAAATCTTTGAATGGAAGAAAAAGTAGAAAGCAGAAGAGAATGTATAGTGTTATAAGACAATCATTTGATGTGTGCAAAATTGCTGAGTACGAGTGGGGTAAAAAAACTAGAATTTCCCAAAAATCCAGAATACTTCTTCTTACTTGGTTGCTGTACATTAAAATAATTTTTTTGCGGGAATTTCCAACATGTGGATTCACGTTCCGATGAATCAGTTGAGAAGTGTTTTTTTTTCTCTTCCTTCTTGTTCCAAATACATACCGGTCTTTCTTCTCTTCACATTCAGTACTGTCGTTGTGTGTTATATCTATCAATTGCTTTTATACCATACACTTATCATCATCATAAACAGAACCTAAACATGTGTTTGTATCATTAATACATTTGTTGTCGGTTTCGGGAATCACCATAGCAAAAAAATTGTACATCATATTTCTTTAATTGATTTTAGAACGTGCTTCTCCTTCACAACGTTGAAATGCAAAAGTCTTGTGCTCTTTTGAATTTTAAAATAATTGTTATTAGTGGAGCATCGTGAATTTAAATAATCAAATTAATACAGCGTAAGTACGTTTGGACAAAGAAACATTGAGAAAAATGATGTGGTGTTTATTTTAGACATTGATGATAAGACTCATTACATCACTTATTTTCATTTGTCGTTCAACGTTTGCATGCGAGAGGAGAGAACAAAATATTCTCTTTTGCACATTCAATTCAATAGAGATTTGTCAGCAGAAGCAACAAGTTGCTTTTGTTTATTTTTTGCATGTCTCATTTAATCGCGTCATTTTATGCAGTTCAGTTCAGTGTTTAAACAAAGAAGTAATAATAAAAAAATGAACTTGAGTGATCAGAACTTTTTGTGGAACTTAACAAAGGATGAATCAAAAACAAGTGGTAAAATTAATAAAGAAAAGTGATCGGTGGCAAAAATAAATAAAAATGAAAAGTGAACAATTTGGAAGAAAGATATAGTCTATATTTAATATGGTGTCTATAATATACACTATATTAATCTCGAAAAATATCACTGATATATTTTATTTGCACGAAAATTCTGAGAAAATGTTTCTCTTCTTTTTCGCCGTGCCTATCGCAATCTGATAAGAAATGTCAATAAATTTGTTTCCCCTTTTTTCCTTTGCCATACTTCGGTATATTAAAGCAGTTTGAGCTTTTATCAGCATTTCAATTTATGATATCCCACGATATACATTGAAAGTAAATTAACTCTAAAAATTAATGTTAAATTTTATAGATTCAAGTTTTATGAGCTCTTATCCATACACGTCACCTTCTTCACGTTCATCAACATCAATGGATTCTGGACATGATTCGCCATTCCATTCCTCAAATGTTAATCAAAATGTAGTCGATCAAGCACCGAATTATTACAGTAATTTACTTTTAAAGTACTATACCACTTCATGACTTAAGCGATTTTTATCCCATTTTACAGACACAAACTTTCAATGCTTTGGAAACTCATTGGGAAATCCCGCAAATTATAATACAATGCCGCAACCTTATACTACTTCATTCCCATCTCCCTCAATTTCCGCATCATCTGATGTCGATAAATATTGTAAGTTATTTTTTCCCTATTACTTTCTGATTATTATGTAAATTAGCATGTATATTAGTATTTGTACTATTTGATTCAGAGTTTAAAAAGTTATATATACTTTAAGAATTTCTATATTTATTTTTCAACAGGCACAACAAATTTTCAAGAAGTACCGAAACCGGAACTAAAAATTATTGAACAGCCTAAAACAATTTTTCGATTTCGTTATGAGACAGAAATGCAAGGGCCACATGGCATGATACAAGCAAAGCCTCACAACAAAAATCAAAAAGTTTACCCTACCGTTAAATTACAGAATACTGAGAGTTTTAATGACCAAACAAAATTCTTGATAAAGTGCTCTCTTTATCAGTTTGAACCAAATGAAGAGGTGCATGCTCTTCATCCACATAAATTAATTATGCGTATAGGTGATGTTGAAAACTGTGATCCACATTATATTGAAGTATCAAAGCAAAATGATTATACAGCGGTGTAAGTATATATATAAAAGTTTTTTGAAACCTCAATTTATGTTTCTTTACTCATTAGCTTTCAAGGTTTGGGAATTATTCAAACCAAAAGAGATTGCATGAAAAAAATTTTATATGAAAAACTAAAAGCTGAGAAGCAACATGAACAGAATCGCAAGCTTTCCGAAGAGGAAAGTAAATGTTTATTTGCTGATGCTGTTAAGTTGATTAAAAAGACAAATATCAATCAAGTTCGTTTGGGATATACAGCTTTTATGAAAAATAGTTATGACAATACATGGATAAATATCAGTGGTCCAATCTACAGCACTGTAATAAATAATAAGAAAAATGCAAAAGTTGGGGATTTGAAAATTTGTAGAATGTCTACACATACTAGTGAAGCTGATGGAAATCAAGAAGTTTTCATGTTTGTCAGCAAAGTAGATAAACGTAAGCATATACATCCTCATAACTTTTATAAATAATTTTAAGGATGATATATTTAAATAGAAACAATAAAAGTGAGATTTTTTGAGACGGATAATGGCGATGCAGACGGTGAAATTAAATGGGAAAGTTGTGGAAAATTCAGTCCATCAGATGTCCATCATCAATTTGGGATTGTTTTTAAGACACCCCCTTATAAAAATGTTAGCATAAGTGAGTAAAACTTTTAAAAATTACGATTTTATTGAATACAACTCAGTTTATAAAATAATAAGCATGTTTTTACTAATGTCTTTTTTTTAGTGGAAAATGTAAAAGTATTTATTCAACTGTTTCGAACGACTGATCATCAAAAAAGTGAACCATTGGAATTCACATATAAACCTAATAGTCATGGAAAGAATAAAAAAAAACGACCCTATGATGATACAATAATTCCAACAGTAGTTGGAGATTACACAACACCTAATCAACCACCTTTTGCACCACAGTCTTCTGCAAACATCCATCCAACATATGATATAAATCAAAACACACAGCATCATCAGCATCAGCAAAGTCAACATCAAAATCAGCATGAAAATGATTGGAACTTCCTGATGAGTATCACTCTCGAAGACATTTCACTCAACAATATAGAGGAGAGTGATATTGAAAAGTACAGTATGGACTGGAATAATTATTTAGGATTAGCCATTGATGCACCAAAATCTTTGAGCAGAGATTCGATTGATCATTCAAACTTATCAATTATGGATAAACTTAAAATGATTGTGAAGTTGTTTAAAGAAAATTATGAAGATGAGAAAATTCATGAAATGATGATGGTATTGATAAAAGCCGCAGAAGATAGGGATGAAAATTTGTTGATTGATGTCATACAATATGGCACAATGAACGATATAAAAGAGCTTGTGTTAATTCTAGTGAAGTACAAATTATTTGATGTTTTCAAATCAAAGAATGAGATCGATCAAAATGCATTACATATAGCAATAAATTTGGGCTATATTAGCCTTATCAAGGTTTTTATAAAATTTGGAGTGGATATAAATGAAACCGATGCATTTGGATCATCACCATTACATTTAGCAGTTCAGAGAAACAATCTTGCGATTTTAAAAGAATTATTAGACTCAAATAAATCTATAAACATGAATGAGTTTGATGATAATGGTCAAACACCACTGAATTTAAGTGTGTTAAACAATAATCTTGAAATTGCAAAGATGTTGATAAGTCACGGAGGAAATGTCACGAAAAAGAATCCAACAAATGGTTTTACGTGTCTTCATGTTGCCCTACTTAATGAAAACGTAAATAAAGAGTTAATTAAACTCTTAATTGCATCAGATAAGGAACTCTTGACACTTGAAAGTCATGAAGGATTGAACGCAATGGAGCTATCTGTTCGAAATAGATTGCCTGACGATATCATTGATTTAATTTCATCTTTTTATGGAGATAATAAGGAGGAAGTTTTAGATGAAAAATGCTTACAAGAACTTTGTGAAATTTTCAATAAGAATGATAGTTGGAAAATATGGCTATTAAGAATGGATATGGCAGATCGTATAAAAGAATGGGTCAATTTAGAATCGCCTGCAAAAGCATTATTTCAATATTTAATCGTAAGTTTCTATTTTCTCGAATTGTTTCTGAATCTCATTAATTTTAACTTAATTTCTAAAGAATACGAAGAAAACTTTACATGACTTTATTGAGCTCCTTGAGTTAACAGATGATGATGAAAGAGAATGTGCTCTAAATGCTATTGACGAAATGGTGGTTAGACAATTTAGCAAATAATACGGGCTTGGGCAGTGGATAAGTCTATGTTTTTTAAATACAAAAAAAAAATTAAAACCATTTAATTTTTATGTATTTTTTTATTCGATACCACGTTGTTACAATAATATCCACCTCTTTGTTTTATTTAAAATTGCAATAAATGCCTTAAAATGAATTAATAGAAATGTAATGTAAGAATATTTTACACAATAGCGTAATAGTAATAAATAAAGATTCTTACTTTATTAAATAAAATCTCTTATTGAATGACTCATGGCAGGTGAGTCTCTTTTTTAAAATGTGTACGAACGTGTCTGGGTAAATTTTGTTTTCATTGAACACGTCAACCATAATGATCCTGTTGCTTTATCTCTATTATTCATAGATCCTAAAATAGTCAAATTTTTATGGCAAAGTTTTCAAATGAAGGGAGGTAGTCTTATTTGAGGCCACTTTACTACATCACTGTATAGAAATGATTATCACATTTATCACATCCATATCTTCGATCATCTGTATGTTTTCTACAAAAAAAAAAACAAATAGTAATATTAATACTTTAAAGGTAATTTACGGCAATGAAATGTTTGATAAGGTAATAAAGTTTTAATTTAGTACAAAATTAAACAGTTATTTAATTTATCTTTAGATTTTACCTCGTATGATAATGTAAATATCGCTTATGAAGCAAATAGTAACAAACGAATTTCTTTTCCGAATCACTTCTGTCGTGAATGGAATGGAATTGATATCACAGTCTAATGATGATTTAGTTTTTTTTAATTTTATGTCATTGGATTAAATTCTGTTTAATCATGTGCCTTTAGAAATAGTATTAATGTAAATTTAACAGCACAGACATCACATTATAATGTCATATTAGAATTGGTACTTGTGCTTCTAAACTGTGATTTATTCAGGAACAGCATTCCAGATACATGCCAAACAAACAATTTTCTCTAAAATTTCATTTTCTAATTATTGGTATCCTGTTCTATCGTCAATATCAAAACTATCTCCTTTATATATATTTCTATTTCAGACTCTCGGCGCTTTATCTCTACAATCGTTTCACTATGGGATAAAATTGATTTTTTTTCCAAAAATTATTTTATTGGCTTATTTGAAAGGTCTTTATCCAAGGAATCAGAATCTTTTTTAATTTTGGCCCAAAACGCAGCAGTGCTGGAGATATAGCCCGAAATGTATTTTGATGACCTTCGATAGCTAATATTTTCAATTACAGAACTTTTTCTTGTCTCAACCAATTTTCTTGAAACTTTTTTAAATGATAGATATAAGTCGAAGCTTTAATATAAATATCAGTCACATAAGTTTTACTACATGAAAAGTGCTTAAAAATTGACTAAACTTCAAATGTTAGTAGTACGGCACACTTTTTTTGAGTATGTGGATTTCTGATGCACTTGAATGTTTTTCTTTTTTCATAAAATCGTAGCTCTTTACTAGGACTACAAGAAAAATATCCCTTTCAAGGTTTAAAATTATTTTTATGCTTAAAAAAATTGAGATTTTTTCAAAAAATATACGGTTTTTAACTATGTTTTAACTTCAATTGACTATAACTGCATATTCCAAGTGAGTGGAGAGACAAGTTTTAACTGTTTTATATAGTACTCACTTGTATCTTTCTAAAACGGTGAAAACCTTTAAAAAAGTTCTGCCAAATTTTCAACTTTGAACCATTTGAAACATGTCATCTGCATGCACCTCAAAAATCTTTTTTAACTTTTTTCATCAAAATCATGTCCAAACTTGATAAAATTTTCAGAAACGTTAGAAAATAGTGTTTTTGATATTTTAAAATCAATTTGAGTTTTTGACATGGACTTGGACCATTTTTATTTGAAATGTCATCATTTTCCATTTTCAATGAGATATAAATGACTTTAAATACACTATATGCTTAGGGGCCATTCACTTATTACGTAACGCTTTTAGGGGGAGGGGGGGGGGTCTAAGATTTTGTTATGGTTCAAACAAGGAAATTTTTTTTTCATACAAATTTTGTTACGAGGGGGGGGGGGGGGTCTAAGAAGTCATTTTTTCGCGTTACGTAATAAGTGAACAGCCCCCAAGGTCATAATTGTTCATAATAGAATTTTGGTATGCAGCAATTTTAAACAATTACATTTTTCATACCTTTTTATATTCACACCGTTTTCACGTGTGAATTTATTGGTTTTGTTCAGATTGAAAAATCAGTTTTTCGCATTTTGTGAGAAAACGAAGCAAAATTGGTTATAAAATGTACAAGAAGAAAAGTTTGTGCCTGAAATTTCACATCATTTGCAAAAATCAGATTTCAAATTGGTTTCGGCATTGCTGAGAAAATCGCAAAATACGCTTTCTGTAAGCAAACAAGCAAGCAAGCAAGTTAATCAGCAAGAAATCTCAATAACGAGACATGGTAGAGACTTCTAGTTTTTTACATTTGATCCGTGCTGCTCTATAGAAGAGCTGTATTGTTTTTGGGCAAGGTAGGAACAGCCGTTGCTTCAGAAATGGCAAAAAACTTTCCTTTCTTACGAATTTTTTAAAACAAAAGTTGACTGTGATTTTTATAAAATTCAACTTTGGATGAAAATTTTTTTTAAAAAACTTTCAAAGAATATTTGGCATATTCGTCAAGCTTTATACCTTCAAACTTATGCTGAGCGTAGCTCAGCTTACGCGATAGCTTTATAACTTCAGCTTAGTTGACTTATCAAGCTTCATACCTTCATACTTATGATGGGCAAATCTTGGTCTATCCATAAGACTTATGATAGTACGGTGTGAATATAATCCGCATTGGGTTTCTACCCGATACACTAGTTTCTCATGTTTTCTACAGAAACATACTTAAACTATCTGAAATTTGATTTTTAGATGATCTGATACAATTTAGAAAATTCTTTGATACTTTCTATAAGCTCATTTACTGCAAATATTTACCGGTCAGTATTCTTTTGGTGTTTTTCAGATACTTTTATCTTTCCAACAGGACCAAATTTATAACATATACTTGAGATTTCATATAGTTTTGAGCAAAAATGTTAAGTATGGTTCTTCACACACCACACCTCGAATTTTGAGTAATTTTTCAGTTTTTTCAACATTATTCAGGGATATTGTACTCATATATGACATATTATGTATCGTTGGAAAGGTAATTTAAGCATCTTAACATAGAAGGTAATACTTTTTGTTAAGGGACTGTTCACTTATTACGTAACGCGAAAAAATGACTTCTTAGACCCCCCCCCCCCCCTCCCCCTAAAAGCGTTACGTAATAAGTGAATGGCCCCTAAGCATATAGTGTATTTAAAGTCATTTATATCTCATTGAAAATGGAAAATGATGACATTTCAAATAAAAATGGTCCAAGTCCATGTCAAAAACTCAAATTGATTTTAAAATATCAAAAACACTATTTTCTAACGTTTCTGAAAATTTTATCAAGTTTGGACATGATTTTGATGAAAAAAGTTGAAAAAGATTTTTGAGGTGCATGCAGATGACATGTTTCAAATGGTTCAAAGTTGAAAATTTGGCAAAACTTTTTTCCAGGTTTTCACCGTTTTAGAAAGATACAAGTGAGTACTATATAAAACAGTTAAAACTTGTCTCTCCACTCACTTGGAATATGCAGTTATAGTCAATTGAAGTTAAAACATAGTTAAAAACCGTATATTTTTTGAAAAAATCTCAATTTTTTTAAGCATAAAAATAATTTTAAACCTTGAAAGGGATATTTTTCTTGTAGTCCTAGTAAAGAGCTACGATTTTATGAAAAAAGAAAAACATTCAAGTGCATCAGAAATCCACATACTCAAAAAAAGTGTGCCGTACTACTAACATTTGAAGTTTAGTCAATTTTTAAGCACTTTTCATGTAGTAAAACTTATGTGACTGATATTTATATTAAAGCTTCGACTTATATCTATCATTTAAAAAAGTTTCAAGAAAATTGGTTGAGACAAGAAAAAGTTCTGTAATTGAAAATATTAGCTATCGAAGGTCATCAAAATACATTTCGGGCTATATCTCCAGCACTGCTGCGTTTTGGGCCAAAATTAAAAAAGATTCTGATTCCTTGGATAAAGACCTTTCAAATAAGCCAATAAAATAATTTTTGGAAAAAAAAATCGATTTTATCCCATAGTGCGTTTCTTAAATTCTGATTGCGTTAAAATCGATTTATTATTTATTTTTTTTTTTCATTTATGAAGTATGTAATTTCATACAAAAACCATAACTTTATTATTTGGCGACAATTCTCAATTATATCTGTTCTAAGCATAATTATTGATGTTATGAATATTGAGCATAGAAAGTAATTGTAGGGTTAGAGTTTCCTCCCAGCCACCGAGTGAGTTGTGAATTGTGCAATACTTCAAAATTAATTAATTACGCGTAGGAATAAGTCACAAACCTACGGAAACTGTCTTTAAAGTAACAAAGAACAAGATACCAGGGAGAAAACTCAACAAAGTCGCGATTTAATCAAGTTTTGGATATAAATTGGAGTTGAGAAAAAATGTGCAAATTTTGCACATAACCTAGATAAAACGGAATTGATCATCATAGGAATACAACAGAACAATTAATTACATTGACAAATCACGATCAGCGGCAGTTGTGAGGCGCATCTGTCGATTGGCGATAAGAAGTTCGAGGTAGTTAATGACTTTGTCTATCTTGGATCTATTATCAGAAACAATCATGACACTACAATCCGACACTTACTTGCTTCCAAAAGAATCTTAAGACGAGCCAAATTTGAGATGTATAAGACACTAATAATACTTGTAGTGATGGATGGTTCAGAGTCATGGAACATGACTTCTAACGATGAGATTGCAATTGGCATGTTCGAGAGGAAGGTTTTGAGAAAGATACTTTGACCAAAAAAGGAAGGAGACTTTTTTAAGAGCAGGAGCAACGCAGAACTATATCAGTTATTCAAGGAAACTGATATTGTGAAGCAGATCAAGGTGAACAGATTACGTTGGGCTGGTCATATTATCAGGAGACCTCAAGAAGCTTCAATTGACAAAATCTTTAAGGCTTATTTTGTAAACGGAAAAATTCTCGGAAGGAAGCTGTTGACAGAGATAGCATAGCATTTAGTATTAGCGATTAGCAGAGAGTATTCAACGACAGAGTCTTTTTCAGACGCAAACTAAGGGAGGCTATGGATCACAATTGATCTGTAAAGCCAGCGATGTATTTATGCATGTTCTATCAATCAAATAATGCTGACTGGATTTCAACAAATCAACATTTACAAACAGTAATTGATTATCTCGGAATGCAGCAGAATATATTAACTACATTGACAAATCACAATCAAGACATAACATAATAAAGCTAATTAAGCAGAAGAAGTAACTGTAGGGTTTTAACTTTAATATTTTTTGAGAAATATTTTTTATATTCACACCTTTTTCACACGTGAATCTATTGGTTTTGTTCATATTGAAAAATCAGTTTTTCGCAGTTTGTGAGAAAACAAAGCAAAATTGGTTATAAAAGGTCACAGAAGAAAAGTTTGTGCCTGAAATTTTACATCATTTTCAAAAAACGGATTTCAAATTGGTTGTGGCATTGCTGAGAAAATCGCAAAATACGCTTTCTGTAAGCAAACAAGCAAGCAAGCAAGCAAGCAAGTTAATCAGCAAGAAATCTCAATAACGAGACATCGTAGAGACTTCTAGTTTTTTACATTTGATCCGTGCTACTCTATAGAAGAGCTGTGAGTTTACTAATATTTATACAAAACAGTTTTAAATTTCTGAAGCAAGAAATGTAATCTATATGTCGTCAGATTTAAATTTTATAAATTTGGTTGTACATTCAAAAACAACGTGACTTAAAAATTTGTCCAAAAAAATGTTTTTTATTAATTCAGAAATGTGTGGCCTGAAGATTAGAATGCTCATACAAAGTTTTACTGTATTTGGATTTATCCTCGAAGAAAAAAGTGAAAAACTAGATTTTGACTAGACCTGTCCCAAGTTCATAATTGAAAATGTATTTCCTACTTGGTTCTTTGCTCAAAAAAATTGTAGGATGTTTTATTTGTATTTGTTTTAAGCACTAGAATATTTATGCAAAGTTTTAATCCATTTGGATAAACCCTCGAAGAAAAAAGTGACGAAATTGATTTGGACTAGGGTCGCCCCTAGTCCAAAATTGAAAATGTATTTCCTACTTGGTTCTTTGCTCAAAAAAATTTTAGGATGTTTTATTTGTATTTGGTTTTAAGCACTAGAATATTTATGCAAAGTTTCAATCCATTTTTATAAACCCTCGAAGAAAAAAGTGACAAAATTGATTATGACTAGGGTCGCCCCTAGTCCAAAATTGAAAATGTATTTCCTACTTGGTACTTTGCTCAAAAAAATTTTAGGATGTTTTATTTGTATTTGTTTTAGGCATTAAAATATTTATGCATAGTTTTAATCTATTTGGATAAACCCTCGAAGAAAAAAGTGACAAAATTGATTATGACTAGGGTCGCCCCTAATCCAAAATTGAAAATGTATTTCCTACTTGGTTCTTTGCTCAAAAAAATTTTAGGATGTTTTACTTGTATTTGTTTTAAGCACTTGAATATTTATGCAAAGTTTCAATCTATTTGGATAAACCCTCGAAGAAAAAAGTGACAAAATTGATTATGACTAGGGTCGCCCCTAGTCCAAAATTGAAAATGTATTTCCTTCTTGGTTCTTTGCTTAAAAAAATTTTAGGATGTTTTATTTGTATTTGTTTTAAGCACTAGAATATTTATGCAAAGTTTCAATCCATTTGGAAAAACCCTCGAAGAAAAAAGTGACAAAATTGATTTTGACTAGGGTCGCCCCTAGTCCAAAATTGAAAATGTATTTCCTACTTGGTTCTTTACTCAAAAACATTTTTGGATATTTTATTTGTATTTGTTTTTAAGCACTAGAATATTTATGCAAAGTTTCAATCCATTTGGATAAACCCTCGAAGAAAAAAGTGACAAAATTGATTATGACTAGGGTCGCCCCTAATCCAAAATTGAAAATGTATTTCCTACTTGGTTCTTTGCTCAAAAAAATTTTAGGATGTTTTATTTGTATTTGTTTTAAGCACTTGAATATTTATGCAAAGTTTCAATCCATTTGGATAAACCCTCGAAGAAAAAAGTGACAAAATTGATTATGACTAGGGTCGCCCCTAATCCAAAATTGAAAATGTATTTCCTACTTGGTTCTTTGCTCAAAAAAATTTTAGGATGTTTTATTTGTATTTGGTTTTAAGCACTAGAATATTTAAGCAAAGTTTCAATCCATTTTTATAAACCCTCGAAGAAAAAAGTGACAAAATTGATTATGACTAGGGTCGCCCCTAGTCCAAAATTGAAAATGTATTTCCTACTTGGTTCTTTGCTCAAAAAAATTTTAGGATGTTTTATTTGTATTTGTTTTAAGCACTTGAATATTTATGCAAAGTTTCAATCTATTTGGATAAACCCTCGAAGAAAAAAGTGACAAAATTGATTATGACTAGGGTCGCCCCTAGTCCAAAATTGAAAATGTATTTCCTTCTTGGTTCTTTGCTTAAAAAAATTTTAGGATGTTTTATTTGTATTTGTTTTAAGCACTAGAATATTTATGCAAAGTTTCAATCCATTTGGAAAAACCCTCGAAGAAAAAAGTGACAAAATTGATTTTGACTAGGGTCGCCCCTAGTCCAAAATTGAAAATGTATTTCCTACTTGGTTCTTTACTCAAAAAAATTTTTGGATATTTTATTTGCATTTGTTTTTAAGCACTAGAATATTTATGCAAAGTTTCAATCCATTTGGATAAACCCTCGAAGAAAAAAGTGACAAAATTGATTATGACTAGGGTCGCCCCTAATCCAAAATTGAAAATGTATTTCCTACTTGGTTCTTTGCTCAAAAAAATTTTAGGATGTTTTATTTGTATTTGTTTTAAGCACTTGAATATTTATGCAAAGTTTCAATCCATTTGGAAAAACCCTCGAAGAAAAAAGTGACAAAATTGATTTTGACTAGGGTCGCCCCTAGTCCAAAATTGAAAATGTATTTCCTACTTGGTTCTTTACTCAAAAAAATTTTTGGATATTTTATTTGCATTTGTTTTTAAGCACTAGAATATTTATGCAAAGTTTCAATCCATTTGGATAAACCCTCGAAGAAAAAAGTGACAAAATTGATTATGACTAGGGTCGCCCCTAATCCAAAATTGAAAATGTATTTCCTACTTGGTTCTTTGCTCAAAAAAATTTTAGGATGTTTTATTTGTATTTGTTTTAAGCACTTGAATATTTATGCAAAGTTTCAATCCATTTGGATAAACCCTCGAAGAAAAAAGTGACAAAATTGATTTTGACTAGGGTCGCCCCTAGTCCAAAATTGAAAATGTATTTCCTACTTGGTTCTTTACTCAAAAAAATTTTTGGATATTTTATTTGCATTTGTTTTTAAGCACTAGAATATTTATGCAAAGTTTCAATCCATTTGGATAAACCCTCGAAGAAAAAAGTGACAAAATTGATTATGACTAGGGTCGCCCCTAGTCCAAAATTGAAAATGTATTTCCTTCTTGGTTCTTTGCTTAAAAAAATTTTAGGATGTTTTATTTGTATTTGTTTTAAGCACTAGAATATTTATGCAAAGTTTCAATCCATTTGGAAAAACCCTCGAAGAAAAAAGTGACAAAATTGATTTTGACTAGGGTCGCCCCTAGTCCAAAATTGAAAATGTATTTCCTACTTGGTTCTTTACTCAAAAAAATTTTTGGATATTTTATTTGCATTTGTTTTTAAGCACTAGAATATTTATGCAAAGTTTCAATCCATTTGGATAAACCCTCGAAGAAAAAAGTGACAAAATTGATTATGACTAGGGTCGCCCCTAATCCAAAATTGAAAATGTATTTCCTTCTTGGTTCTTTGCTCAAAAAAATTTTAGGATGTTTTATTTGTATTTGTTTTAAGCACTAGAATATTTATTCAAAGTTTTAATTCATTTTTATAAACCCTCGAAGAAAAAAGTGACAAAATTGATTTTGACTAGGGTTGCCCCTAGTCCAAAATTGAAAATTGATTTTCTATGGTTTACTTTGGTCAAAAACATTTTTTGGATGTTTTATTTGAATTGACATAATTTTGACATAAATCACATACCATTATTACTTTTTGTAATGCATAGCTTAAAAAAATCGAAATCTAAAATTTCGACTACCCCATCTGAATTTTGTTCATACTCTTCACTAAGGAAACCAAAAAACAAATTCTTTATCTTAAAACACTTGACAAAATAGCGACATTATTCAGGATTAATTACTTTTTAATAATATTTTAACATTTACGAGAAAATATGGCCGAGATTTGGACCAAAATCAGCTATACTGGTTTATAGTGTTCCCGAGGGTGACAAAATTCAAACTAAGTGTTTTTGTAGCTGACATAATTATGACATAAATTAGGTATATCTTTTGAACTGTGTAGATATGGGTCTCGGCCGTACTTCACGCCCACCCTTCAAAATTATGCTGAGCAAATCTTGGTCTATCCATAAGACTTTTGATGGTACGGTGTGAATATATCCGCATTGGGTTTCTACCCGATACACTAGTTTCTTCGTAATTTTGATAGTAGTCAAGTTATACTATAATAGTTTTTGGAACCTAAGTATTTAAAGGACCTATAAAATGTTTTCGATGATTAATTAACATTTCTCTTGTCTTAATACATGTATGATGAACACACAGAGGATTACAATTTGTGATCAGTGATGTATTAGTTTTTCACAATTTTTTTAACTTTACAATTAATAGAAGAGATATACATTGGTCAATTCAACTGTAAAGAGATATAACTAGGTAAGTTAACATTTCTTTGTGCAAAAACGGATAAAATTCCAATAATTCTGTTGTTTTCAAAAAATGTCCGTAGAAAAACCATAGAATGTTTTGTAATAAAAATTTTGCGCAATTTTTGACTTAAATATTTGATAACAGTGGTGTTAGATAGATACAATGTATGTTAATTAAAGTATTGAATTGAGTGGTTATACATGGCATGTAGTCAATTTCGTTTACAAGCGATTTTTTAAATGATTCATAGGGGAATGTAACTTTATAAAAAAAATTGAACAACATCTAGTTATTATCCCCCTTAATTTTAAGGAAAAATTTGAAGCAATTTTTTAAGATTTTTCCAAGTTAAAATTTAATGGAAAATTGTATAATTTGTGTAAGAATGATAAGTTAAAAGGAATCTATGTTATAGAAATGTTAAAAATTGTGACGCACAACTAGTATATTCGTAGTGAAAGTTGTTTCGCCCATACATTGAGAGAAAAGTTGTGAAGAGTGAAAAAATTCAAGAACTATTTTCTTTTTTTCTCGGGAAAATTAAGTATCTATAAAGTGATAAAGATAGATATATTGTAGAGATTAAGAAAAATGGGCAAGTGTTTCGGAAAGCAACGAGTGGAGACACCGAAAATCGAAGCTACACCCATCGATGATTCAAATCCACCAGCAATTCCAACAATCATTAATCCAAATCCAATTCAGCCAATACAACCAACGGAACCAGAACCACCTAATACAAATGCTAAGATATTTGTAGCTCTCTATGATTATGATGCCAGAACGGATGAGGATCTCAGTTTTCGAAAAGGCGAGCATCTAGAAATCCTAAATGATTCACAAGTATGTATTATGAATTTTGTAAGCGATAACAAATGAATAACATATATAAATTATAGTTCGTATATTCATATCGTCATTATCCACTTGAGATTGAAATATTTTAATACTGTTTGATATAGTCATTTATTGTGCATCATCCATCTTCTACAAATCTTTTTATTCATGTAATTTTTTATGTACCTACTTGCTACACACACCCAAAAATCTTCTCTTTTATTATTATTCCCTTTATTTATGTTTCGCTTTATAAAAAAACTATTGAAATGGTTCTGTGTGGTGTGTTTATTGATTGATAAACAGAATTTCAACGTGAGCCTAAAACCTGTTTTTTCGGTCAATAATATACACATCAGAACCTGTAAATTTTTCTTTTTTTTCTCCTAACATTCATTATAAATTCGTTTAGTTTTCATAAGCATTATTATTATTTATTGATACTTCATTAAGTGTATTAATATACTGCTTACTGCTCTCAATTTTCTTTACTTTACCAATTAGTCAATTCTCTTTTCAAAACAAAAAACCATTCACTCAACATCATGAATGAATTTGGAAATTAAACTATGCCATATTATTGTGTTTTTAACTCTAGTTATTGATTTAAAAATAAAACACATGAATCATGTAAACTTAAAATATTTAATTTTGTCCTTATGCACTCATCACATGATGACTTTTGAAGACAAATAGAGTATTAAAGAACGGGTTAATGTCAAAAGAATGTATTCCATAGCCTGCATGTATGCTGAAAATAGAGATACACCTAAAATTGTTCTAAACATTAAATTTGAATGACCATATTGTCATAAGTTTAGCTAATGTATACAAAAGAACAAACGGTAGAAAGGAAAAACTTTCTTTATAGTTCGATCAGGCGCGATAAAGTAGTCGTTAGTTTATGCTATGAAGTGAAACTTGGTAGTCATAAAATTAATGTTTTCTAATAGCAATTAGATTCAGTGTTGCAAATGTAGATGTCTACACTAGATGAAGAATGTAGATTCTTCAATAGTTTTTGTCTAGCTAAGAAACTTTCTTCATAAAGATCGATTCTACATGTAGAAAGAAAAAAACCATCTACATGTAGATTGTGTCTACATGTAGAATCTGTCTACATGTAGATTCGATGTAGATGTCTATAATTCTACATTTTTTCCAGGTCTACATCAGAGAAGAATGTAGAATCGTAGACATCTACATTAAATCTACATGTAGACAGATTCTACATGTAGACACAATCTACATGTAGATGGTTTTTTTCTTTCTACATGTAGAATCGATTTTATGAAGAAATTTCTGTCTCAGAATTTATCTGATCCAGACAAATAGCCAGAATGCAACACTGATTAGATTAGAGCGAGCATAAATAACATGTTCGAATGTTTAGATAAAAAAGAAAGAACGAAAAAGATTCATTTGTTTTGTGTCCGATAACAAGCAAAAAAACTCACTTAATTGCTGATGTAAAATGTTTGATATCTCATAAAAAAAGTGTGTAGAAAAACAATAGAAATTAAAGTGAAATTTTTTCAACGTTTATCATTGAACAATTAAATACAGTGAATTTTCTGAATTGCATTACTCTTTAACGGAATATCTATGTGCTTTTGTGGAAAATTTGCAGCTGTAAAAAAGTTTAACTTCTACTATCTATTTAATTGACTGACTTACTGCTACTTATTGGAAAGTGAAAACATCTTGAATCTAATGTACACTCTTCCCGCTTGCCGATGCACACGCTTTGCATTTTAAATAAATATTTAGGGTTTTCATTTTATTTATTTATATTTATCTTTGTTTTCTTCTTACATTTTACTTTTGAGCTTTCATAATTTCTTTGATTAGAAATCTCACAAAATATTGCATGTAATCTATTAATTCATAATATAATTTTCAAATGTGCCCAAAAGTCAGACCAACCTCGTATATGTCGATTACAAAACTAATCTATTAAAAAAACAATGTGTTTTTAACGGAAATGACTAAGGCATGTATGACGTCAAACAGCATTTTGGTAAAGGTATTTAAAGAAATTCATGAATATGCCCTAAAGTTAATTTTTATAAAATGAAGATTAAGTTAATAGTGCTTTATTTTAAATGGAAATTAAATTGTTTAAAAGTCAAAGAGTTCTGTTTCTTAGAAAATGCGATTAAGTCCTTGATATTTGCCGTGCAAAAATATTTCTATGCTGTTACTTTGAGCTATTTAAAGTTTTTATATACCCTTAATTTGTACAATTAAAATTCATAAAGTACCACTAATGTCTTTCTCATTTCCTTTTAACTCGAATATTTGTGACCTTAACAAGTAATACAAACAAAAGCAACACGATACAAATATTTTCAACACTGTATTTCCCACCGTATGAGTCGTTTCTCATTAAAATTGCTCGGGTTATTTTTTTACCTTCCGAATTGAATTATTGAATTTTCCGAATTGATTAATATTATTGTTTTTATTCACAACCATGTTATGCATTTGTTAAGCTTCTTTTGAATGAAAATATATCCTTAAATTATCAAATTCTAATGTTCATTTTTTCTGTCTCTTTTCAGGGTAATTTTACATTGAATTGCTGGTTTTCTCTTCTATAAAATACGCATTATAATTATTTTTATGCTCCATTGATGTATTCTTTCTTTTTTAAAATCATAAGGTGATTGGTGGCTTAGCAGGAGTAAAAAAACTCGCCAAGAAGGTTATATTCCATCAAATTATGTGGCAAAACTTAAATCGATTGAAGCTGAACCGTGAGTATACAATATTTTTAAGTGGTTATTGAGAAAAAATTAACGTAAAGTTGTCATTATCGTATCGGTGCTGATTCATGCGTGGGAATTTGTGCAAAGACAACAAAAAAATCTATCTTGACACTGTAATAATCTTAAAAGAATATAAATTATTATACAATATGTCTAGAATGTCTATACATTTATATATAAAATAATGTAAAAGTGAAATTAAGTACAAAGTATTAGTCATGACATTCAACAATTTTTTTTTAAAACAACGTTGCTGCTTTACTTCAAAATCGATGCTGATATAAAAGGTTCACATGAAATCTATGACTGTACACTATTTTGATTGTTTGTTTTTGTTTGATAATGCTTATAATGAAAATCTTTATATTGATTTTAATTTTTATTAGAAAATCTTGGTTTCGAAACTGAAGAAGGCTCATAATTGTTTTTGATTTTTAATTAAGTTTGAATACTTTGTATTAAAAACAAAATACTTTGATGATTATATCTTAGTGACAGGAAATTTTATTATTATAAATAATCTTAAAGTTTACTCAAAATAATTAAATATTGAATGCATTTTCTAAGTTTTAAAATCAATCGACTTAGACGTTTGCAATAAAGTTCCCGGTAATTATAAAAGCTAATTAATGTTAAAAATAATTAGCTTCATACTCTTAAAATGTTTGAAATCAGAACGACAGAAATGTTAAAGTATTTACAAATCACAGGAGTCATCACTTATAACGAAGAAAAAAAACACTTAATTGCGAGAAATGTTGAATAAGATGGTTTATTGGGAACACTAATCAACAAAGGATTAATCGGAACGTGTAAAATATTTTTTCGCCTTACCCGATCATATTATGCAATACTTTGAAAGTCATAACTTTGCCCAAAAAATTTGTTGAGCGATACAATGCAAAAACTTTGTGAAGTATTCGTGTTCTTGTGATCTTGATTCAGTTTAAGTTGTCTCTCGCTCTTTTATAACACATTAAAAGAAATATTGGAGACAAAAATAAAAGTATATTGGTGTATACCAGGTGTGGGGACTCTTTACTCTCACAAACTTTTTTCTACACATTTGCTACTTTTCCTATTATCTTTGCTGCTTTTTGCAACTCTCGCTACTCATTTTTACTAGGTCGTAATTTCGCCTCCTCTTTGCTGCTCTTACTACTCTTTTTTACACTTTTCTACTCTTTACTACTCTCTATTGCTCTTTCGAAAAAAAAAAAAAACTACGCTTTTCTGACCTCAATCTAAAAATCCCTAAAATGCAGCTACCCTAAAATGCAGATAGTACTGCCAAGATGCAGATAGTGCTGCTAAAGTGCAGATGAAATTTATTTTCCCTAAAATGCAGATGAAATGCTGTTGCTTTAAAAAAGGTATAACGCAGATAATTTTTATCGTATAAAGTGCAGATAAGATGCTGCCTAAATGTAGATCGTATAATTTCATTAAAATACATCAATATTCGAACCTCAATCTAGAAATCCCTAAAATGCAGCTACCCTAATATGCAGATAGTACTGCCAAGATGCAGATGGTGCTGCTAAAGTGCAGATAAAATTTATTTTCCCTAAAATGCAGTTGAAATGCTGTTGCTTTAAAAAAGGTATAATGCAGATAATTTTTATCGTATAAAGTGCAGATAAGATGCTGCTTAAATGTAGATCGTATAGTTTTAATAAAATAAATATGAAATGCTGTTATAATGCAGATAATTTAACGTTGGATATTAATTATTTGGGCCCGACGAAAAAAAATTATTCGTGAGTGACGCTATGATTTCTTAAAGCCAAAAAAATAAACCACCGACAAAAAAAAATGTTGATTTAAAGAAAAATAAAGAATAAAGTTTAGACAATACTGTTGTAAATGTTGAGAAAAACATTTTTTATTGCATATCACGAAAAAAATTCAGTTTTTCAAATTTTTTGCTTTTATGAGCATTAAGAAAACAGTGATTAATAAATTTTACTCTAAGTCTACGAAACTCAACATAAATTAAATTAATTGGAGTTAAATTTTAACATTACCCATTGTAAAATTAACAATCGTTATTGGATCTTAACAACTAGCTTCAATGTAAAATGTATGTTGACGATGAAATGGGTAAAACAAATTATGATACAAAATTAGCAATTTCAATATTAAGTTTATTTTACAATGAAATAACCAAGTGAAAAATTTGAAGAATTTATTGGCAGACTTTTTGATGTTTTAAAAAACATTTTATTTTTCTGGATTTTGTGGTGCCAACCAATTTTGATTAAGGCTACCATTTTCATATTTTTATTTTAAACACTGACGCCTCTTGAAAAAACCTTCGAAAAATGATATTTTTTGAAGGTGTAAGAAAGACCAAAATTGTTGATAAACTTCTTCAAATTGTTAAATAATGATAAAGAAACTTATTATTTCAAAATTACAAAGTCTTAGTGATTATTTGAATTTTTGCTGTTTTTAAACTGCTTCAACTACTCTTTTGCTGCTTTTTCCTGTTTTTACTGCTTTTGTTACTACTCTTGCTGCTTTTTACTGCTCTTTGCTACTATTTGCTATTATTTACTGCTTTTTGCTGCACTTTATTGCTTTCTACTTTTTTCTAATACTCTTTGCTATTTTTTACTCCTTTTTACTGATTAACATAGTTTTAAACTGCATTTTAATAACTTTATTCAGTTCTTTCCTGCACGATTTTTGGAGTCCCCACACCTGGGGTGTATATTGATATAAAAAATTACAAAATTACAAAAAAATACAATAGTTGCAAAGCAAAAATAGAGATGGCAATCTTAATGATTTTAAGTTGATGTAACTTTTTTTATGCATAAATAATTGTAGCTTTTGTGGTAAGAATTCTCGAAAAGTCCAATTACAAGTGAGATTCGTATAGTATTGAGCTTTGATAAAAAAATTTCCTTTATATACCAAAATATCGAAACAACACTGATTGTATCAATAAGAAGAAGCGACGTTTGCGTGATCAAAATGTGTGAGTTTTTGGGCAGTATAATGTAAAATTGGCAAACACTTAATTCATACGTAATGGTAATGAACTCAGAAAAAAATGAGTTTCAAAATCGCATGATAAGTCTTTGATAATATAAATCAAATATCTTCAATATTATGTTATTATCGGTGAAGAAATAGGATTTTGATTCATAATCAAATTATATGATTCAGGAATAAAAAGAAATTAACAATTTTTATTATTGTCTACCAATCAAAGGAATAAAGACATACTAAGTTGCAAAACACAGACGTAAAGAAAAAGAAATGTAAAAACTCACAAACACTGATTCAAGTGTTAAAATGCATAAATTTATAAGTATTTAATTTATATGATGGTGTTTAACACAAACATTCATTAAAAGTAAGGTTTTTGAATGCCGATGAATATTCTATAAGACTTTATTTGTAGAATTCATGGAATATTTGATTTCATTGGTATTTATTATGTTCTTAATTTTTCTAACTGAAAAACGTGTTTCGCATCTTAAATTCTTTCTCTACCATATCTTGTTTTATGCTAATAAAGAATCACACTGAGTGACTTACTCTCACTAGTGCCTTTTATTGTGTACTTTTTTGCTCATGTTGCACCTACATATGTGACTCCTTCTCTCTGTCTCTCTCACCCATTTTTTTATTATTATTGTATGTCGCTTTTAGTCTTGTTCAGTTGTCTTTGAGATCGCAACAAGTGAGCACGCTTAAATATTAATAGTTATCTTTCTCATTGTATATATCAATATTGAAGTGGAAAGCATCTGCATTGAGTGACTTCTTTGTGTGTTACTTTAAGTTTACATTGGATGCTGAGCGGAATTAAATAAAAAGCTAATTGAAGAGACGAAGAAAATAGAGTTGGTTGAAATAGACGACGAGCAAGTTATAAATATATGCTTACACACTTTTTATCTCACAAATCACACGGGGTAGTTGGAAAAATTATCATACAGAGAAAGAGAATCTCGGATGATTCGGAATAAAATAGCAACAGAAGAGCATTTATTTCAAAGTCATCAGTTGACCATCGAAGTGAAGAGATCGATACAAAAGTTATAATAATATAAATCTTGCGGTTGTGAATTACACATCAATTTTTTTTTATTCAAAGAAATAGTTCAAATTGGAAAAAGAAAAAAAGTAACATTATAGTGAGTGCTTTAAAAAATAACGAAACAAATAATAATTTTAAAGATCATTACATAATAGAAATTGTTGATCTCTCTTAATTTCTTTTCACGGATATTGTATGCTTTTAAGTTTAATGTACAATCTTAAAATGTTTAGCGAACACAAAGATACTTCTGGGAATTTTATCACTATATAAATTTAATATTTATTGACATGTTGCTATTGACTGAAAAGCGAAAATTAATGTCTGCTTTTTGCTATTCCCGTTACAATTTTTATATACCTTAAAAATTTATTTTTCTTCAATTAAAGCATCAGTAAAGTTCTTCAAATACATTTCTACATGAAATAAGGCTTTGCCTAAAGAAAAATTACTAAAGAATATGAAACATAAAGCCACAAATATTGAATATACGAAAGGCAAAACATAAGAAAGAAAAAAAAAAGGTTCAGATGATCTTAGCAAAAAAAATGTATTGCAGAAACTTTTTTTCATTTGCGTGTGATATTTCTTATTTACTGGTTGGTTTATTTTAATAACCATACGAAATGGAAAAGAATCTTGTTTTTGAGAATAAAGAGAAAACATGAAGAATTTTAGCTTGAAATTTTTATGGAAATTTATTATTACAACAAAACCACTATGTATTCAGGCATTCATCTCATTTTACTGGACAATTTGCATAATTAAGTACATGGACAGGAAAAGGAACAACGCATGAGAAAATAAATTTGTGGTTGGAACTACGTAAAATTTCCGAGAAGGAATTTGATTACTGAAAGAAATGATAAATATTTTCAGACTTATGATGTCAATTATTTTTCAATGTATGGTTTCATGTTATATTCTCATTCTCTCTTCTCTTCACTATGATTCGTTTTCTTTAAGAAGTTTCGTGAGTGCCCATTCGATCTTTTGTTAAATGTGAAATAAATATAAAACGACTCAGTCAGAAGTTTACTTTAAATATTAACAATATTACATGCTTCTTAATATTTGTTTCCTCATGATCTTTAATACGTTTATTTATTTATTTTATTTTGCTAAAGATGTTATAATATAAACAAAAGTTAAGATCTACTATCTATGAAGGAGATTCTTAAAAATTATTCACAAGTCTTCGTCTTTAGTTTTGTTGTAATCATAATTTAAGAGATCACAATTTCAAATATGTGTAAAAGAAATCTAAAATTATTATTTATTTTATAAATTATGAATGTTATTGTTTAAACAGCCCGTGATAAAAACACTCGAAGAAAAAAAAATAATAATAACATTAATGAAAGTGAAACAGAAAAAAATATAAATGTAATGCAAAAAATAAAAACAACTACCATAAGAGTAAAAGAAGACATGACTGCTTGTGATAAAAATCATTACAAAAAACTGTTAGTTCCACATTTACTCTTGTTGTGATCATGTATCTTGCCATCTATATATTTAAAAATATTATGTATATGTACATATGAACTCAGAGTAGCAAATTAATCTTGTGCAACAATTTTTTTTTTCTCTCTCTCACTCAATCATAAAAAAAATAAACCGAAAGAAAAAAACTATGTTAACGTATGAAGTGCAATTAAATAACTTAACTGACTGAATTTTAGTGTACTATTTGGAAAAAAATTGCATATAATGACTATTATTTTTAAAATAATAATAAAAATAAAAAAATAAAAAACTAAAGAAGAAAATACAATTGGAGACGGCGAAATAAAAGTAGATAATAACATTAAAAATGTCGACGAGCAGTAGCAGTTTGCCAGTTGTTTGGTGTGCTGATAGAAATTCGGTAGATAATAAGCCGACAGCTTTCGCTCTTCAAGGTATACATTTGCAAGGAAATATAAGTGAGCAGCATGTGCTTGCTGTACGTGAACTAATAAATGCAGCATCCGAAGGACGACTGCTTTTACCAGCTGATGGCAGTGTTGTTGTATTGAGTTGTGGTGTTGGGGTAGGAAGTTTAATAGTTAGTAGCAACAAAAATAGCTTTAGTGAGTTTAATAAAACAACAGAAATTTTCGATATTGCAAAAACCATTGAAAATAATAATAATAATACATCAAAAACCACAAATGGGAAAGATGAAGATGAAAGAATTCGACCTAATTTTCACATTAACACATCTAATGAAGTATTATATGAATTTTTATGTTGCGCACGATGTATGAGTGAGGGAACTAAGTGTAATGGTAAATCAAGTCAGAATTCAAAAATTATTGAAAAATATTTGGATGCAAAAGTAAATGCAGCGAGAGCAATGAGACGAATACCAGTAGTTGGAAATAAGCCATTAAAAAATAGAAAAAGAACAAAAATTTCATTTAAAAGTGAAAGACGCATCCTTAAAAGAATTCAACCGACCAATGTCCTTCCAATTTATGCGACCGTTAATAAAAAAGAAAAAATAAAAAGCAGCGAGATCAAGACAAAAGAATCAGAAAATGCGACCGTAAAAAATGACGTAATTGAAACAACATTGAGTACTGAAGTCGTTAAAATTTCATCAACATTTCATGAATCATTCAGAAAAACAAGTTTTGATTCAACATGTACAATAAGTTCTATGGATTCTGGATTTATGGAAATGCAAAACAAATCAGATCTTGGAAAAAAAGGATTAAAAGTTAAAATGTCTTCAATTGAAAGTATTCAAATAAAAATCGAACCACCCGAAAAGGGTGAAGATTTTGCACAAAATGTTGAGGAATCTGCTAATAAAGTTGAATCTTTAAATACATGGAATCGATTGACAATTCCTCAACAATCAAGAAATCGGAGGAAGTCATATGAAGAATTTAAGTCATTATTTTGTGATCAGAAAAATTCATTATTGGTTGTAAATGAATCCAAAAGTTCAAGTAAATCACGTCGTAAGTCTTATGAAGAATTTAAGTCTGCAACAAATACTATTAGTAAAAACGATAGCTCTATATGTGATGATAATAAATCTAGTGGAAATGAATCATTGACAATTAGCAAGAATAATAGTAGTAATGAGAATTTAAGTACTTTCTTTGGTCGAATGAGAAGAGGATCAAAGAGATTTTCGCAAAAGCATAACAGTAAAACTTTTGTGAGCAGTCCAAATAGTAATTGTAATAAAAACAGTACTAATAATCATAATAATTTTAATAGTAATATAATAAGCAAAAAATCAATTAATGAGGAGCAACAGCGTGATATTGCAGAATTTACTATTTATGATATATTACGAAAAAACGAACAAAGTTCCAATAATATCAACAACATTAATTTATTAGATGCTAACAATGTGATAAAAAGGAATTACGATAAAAATCTCGAGTTGTTTGAGAATCATTGTAATGAACAAAATAACAAACATAATTTAAAGTCATGCGGTACAATTTACGATATTATACAAAAGCGGAATGATATATATTCAAAAAGCTGTAAAAAGTATGATAAGTATATGACATACGGAACAATCTATGAAATTTTACACAGGAAGAGTGATGAAGGTGATCAGTTCGATCGAAAACGTACTTTCTCGGAAAAATACTCCAATAAACAACGAATTAATTATGATTTCATTAAAGCTTCTTCGATAGCAAGTCAAAAAAATGCAAATTTCATTAACAATAGTAATATTGGCTTATTTAAAAAAGTTAATAGCAGCAGTAATGTCACTGACATAAGTGAAGAAAATTTAAATTCATCGAACACATCAGCAAGTGCGAGCTCATTGAAACAAGGAAGTTGCAATACGAATAATCAATTATCAATAACATCAGCTAATAGCAAGCAATTGTCAACTATTTACGATATTTTGCAAACCAAGAAATTAGATACAAGTATATCGATTCAAACAAATAATAAAAATCGTTTCTTAGTACGTAAAATAACAGAGGAAGAACTTTTTGAGTTTCAAAAGGAAAGCGATAATTCTTTCAGTAACAATGGTAGCAACAACGTTAATAATAATAAAAATGATTTGAATTCCATCTCTTATAATACAAATGATACGAAAATTTCAGTGAATATTGAAGAATCTACATTATCATGTAATAATGATCAAAAGAAGCAAACAAAACTTCGAAGATTCTCAAATATTTTATCATATGCACCGAAAACTATAAATGAATTTGATTTTAAGACGATTGAGAATCATTCTGATATTGAAGCCAAGCTCGATATTAAAATTGATGAGATATATTCTCGTTTAAATCGAATAAATACCGTTCAAATAATCGAAAATGAGCATGTTCAGCAACAAAAGCAACCAAAAGCTTTTAATCTGAATCAAATAAAATTTAGAAATGATGAACTAACCAATGGATCAATATACAAGAGCAATTCATTAGATATGCTCTTAACAACAGAAGATAATCAAGAATTCGTTAAACAAATTCCATTGCGTAAAATATCAGTTCCAGCTCATTTACCACCGAAAATTCTTCCAAAGAAGAATACCAGACGTTTATCAGAATTCACTCGTGGAGAATTCTTGAATGAAAAGTTGTAAGTAATATTAATGTTCAATAAATAATTTATTTTTTAACAAAGAATCATGTGGAAGAAATTTATAAAGTATAGTTTCGTGATAAGACATTTAATGTCTATCTCAAACGGAGAGGCTTCTGCCATTAAACCATTAACGTCTAAAATATAATGAGATTAACGGATCTGTATAATGATAACATTGTTAATGTTAGAAAATAAAGAAGTATATCAAGACGTAGTGAAAGAAAAAAGAAGAATGTATTATTGATGTATATAAACAATGGCGTCAGGTGAGAGCGGTATGCTTTATGGAACATTAAAAATGTGATGCATGAGACGTGCACACACTTTCCAACATTCTTTTAAATATTAGAGAAATTTTTCATCTCTACATAGTTCGATGACGAATTTATTATTATTCGAGTAGGATACTTTTCAATAAAAAGGTAGCAAAAATTTCTAGACCTGTTTCTAGAAAAAAAAATATAGTCAAAATGCATTTAAAATATTTCGAAGAAAAATTTTTAAAATGCACATGCGTTACATCATAAAACCACAGTAACAATAAAATGAAGATGTGCTCTTAATTTATTTAAAATAATTTTATAACATACAAAAATTCCATATGATTATGTGACTAATAACAGTTGGGATTTCCGTATCTTGAACTTTTAGTTCCTTTTAAATTACACATAGTTTATACCGAGTTAAGTTTCAATTTATCCGAGATTAAAGCTTTATTAGTGATGAGTAAACATTATTTTTTTAAAAAGGAAATAAATAGAGTAAATCTGAATTAACTGAATTTGTAAATTTGTACGTTTAGGTAGAATTTACCCGCATCTAATCATAAGATGTACATAATATTGTGAGAAAACTTATGTAAGCACTGAAAAATACCTGTATAAAAAAAATTATTATTAAGTTCGGAATAAATGACGCAGGTGTTGATGACAATATTTAACATGATAATTTTGCATCATATTATTTTTCTGATCGATGATGCAAGTTAATAGATAAGTAATTATATTTTTATTTTCTTCATCTTTTTTATTAATTACTTATTTGCAAAAATGCGACTGATAATTAGTAGGTGATGTGGATGAAATGCGATGTGTCGTGATTGAAAAAAAAAGAAATAACAAATAGATAATTTTACAACTGAAATGTAAAAATCAATAGTAATTAAAGATGTCGGGCTCCACATATATGCGTTATACGGAGACAGAAGTTTAATTTCAACCATTTATTAGCAATCTTTCTCTCACTATGGGTAACAGGTTGAAATTCCTTTTTCACAATTTTTTTCTTCTCTTATTTTGTTTCACATAAACATGTTTTTTCTTAGCCATCAATTTACTTAGACATTTAATTATATTATGGGATTTTATATATAGTCTTTTTCTTCTCATTCTTCTCACTCTTTTCATCAATCTATCTTTGTCTATCATAATAATTTTGTGCATTTATTGCTAATATGTCTATATTCGTAAAGTTATGTTGTTTTAACACAAATCAGTCATTCCATAATAGGATCTTCTCTCTAGTACCTCACATACATACACTAGCTTACTGAACGTTGTCACTTTCAATTCATAAAGGTGTCAATTAAATCAGTTATTTAATGAAAGTTGTGAACATAACGCAAAAATGGGTACCTCTATCTTACTCATATTTATAGCATCTAAATCTTCTTTTTATCGCTTTTATAAGCAAAATATGATTAATAATTAAGAAGACTAATTTCATACACATTAACTTTTTACAGTCGATGATCAGTAGTAATCAAGATAGTGAAACTAAAATCAATTATAACTCAATAAATAAATATGACTACACGAATGAGTAAAATTTTAAAATCAGACAAATTTATGCAATGAGAAAAAAAAATGATTGAGAAGACATTAACACTGTCCGCGTTTAAATTCCAATACTGGCGCCTTACAAACCTCATTTAGTCAAATATAACAAATCCTCTGAGAGACAAAAATCAATGATGTTAACTAATGTATTAAAGAAAATAAAAAAAAAATTCTCTGACGCCACTAAAGTAAATGTTAATTAATTTTTCTAAAAAAACATCCAAGAAAAAATAAAGTCAGGAGAGAAAATATTCATGTGATAATTTATTTCGCACATAATTTCAAGAAATCCTTCGCTGATTCAATAAGATTATTACGGGAAATCCAAAGTTTAACTGGTGGTTAATTCCATTCGAATATTTCTGTGAAAAAGCTTTAAGAGGAATCGTTTAAATTGATGGACACAGACATGACATATACTTTTATTGAAATAAATCTGCGTTCGATTAAGGTGGATGAAATGTACACATGTTAATTTATCTTTTAATTGCTACTGTAATTGAATCTGCATAACGTTTATACTAAATTGCTAATCATTAAACTTGTCTCAATTCTTTTCGTAAAATATTAATATGGTGCCAGTGCTTCTTAAAATTAAGATAACAATGTTACTGGAAAGTTTCCTTTTAATTACTCAGAAGTTTGGGTTAATTCTTGTTTCCGAGTTTTTCTGACTGAGAGACAATTTAAACCTTTTTATTAACTTTTATGATTCAGTATTATTTTGGAGATTTGGGCTGCTAAGCACTAAGGATAAATTTAAAATCTACTGTCGATGTTATCATTCATTTTGGCTCATCGCTATGAACACACGTTTTTTTTTTGTTTATGTTTTGTTATTTTTCTTGATATTATTCATAGTAATAATTCACATAGCAGAGCTGATGACGCATACACAATGAAAAATGTGCATTGAGTTGCAAATAGTCAATTGACAAAGAAGCAATAATCATGGACAAAAATAAAATTAAAAAGTTGTAAAAATAATTTTTTTTTTCGTAACATCACGTGGAAAAAAGCATTTACACAAATATTATTAGTAATGGCGAAAAATCTTAATATAATCGATTTTTTATGTATGCATTGGATAGTTTTGTAAATTTATTACATGAATAAATGATTATATTTTCACATTGACGAACATTTTTCTCTCACTAATTGTCGCCGACGATCTAGCACGATCAACGTTCAGTAGTTGATGATGAGTGTCAATAATTTCTCGGAATACTGCATGTCATAAAAATTCCAATGTCGGCGCCATTCACCTCATTTTTTCCACATTGATCAAAAAATGATGGTAACATTTTATTTGTAAAAATTATAATTAAAAAATGAAAAAAACAATATACGTACAATTGATTAAGTGTCTATGCGGATTAGTTTTTCCTCTTTTGCATAATTTGATGTGAATTTTTCTCTCAAGAGAGAAAATAACATGATAACAAGATATTCATTGCACTTAAAGAGTGATGTAAAAATGTATGTTTTTTGTGATCATTCACATAAATTCAAATACTTTACAAACTATTTTATATGCAGTATCAATATCTAAAAATAGACGTCTGGTTTTTAGATCTTGGGTGATAAAATTACCTCAAAGATAACAAAAAAGAAGCTGCGAAAATTCAATTCATAAAATTCTAGCATTAATAAAATTGTTTCGTCAATTCTTGGTCAATTCAATTACTGTCATGAGTTAATTGATAAAGTTTATAGATTCAGAATTCTTGATGCCATTCTTAAAAATTATTAGAGAATGTTCTGTTACAATTACTCATTGTCTGTGGTATGCATTGCAATGTTTATTTCAAGGACATTTTACATTTTTAGAAATGCACTTGAACACATTTTGGTTCACTCATATTGCATAATTCACACAGATACAAACACACACTATAATTTTCAGACATACTAGACATTATAGACCTTCATGTAAGAAAAATGACAAAATATCGACAAGTAAGTTTTATAGCGAACATCGTCTAAGATATTGATAAATTAATAAAATTTTACTGCTACGATGCACATTCCTCAAAAGCGGAAATGCCTTCCTGAATTGAAAATCCATTACTCTACCATCATCGTTGTGCGTGCCACGATGATCATCACCAAAGTATCTAATAATGACACTAAATTAGTTTGTTATCCTAATAAGCAGCAATTAAATGAAATTAAAAACAAAAGAGGAAGAAGAAATATGAATTTTTTGCGACTTCTCATTCATTTAGTTGCATATAGAAAACGCATTCGAATGTGAATTATTTATTACAAATAGCAATAATAATATTTATATACAATAGGAAAATGTTATTAACCTTGCGAAGGCTACAATTTTTATTTTTATGATCGATACCGGTAAAAATATTTTACGATCATCATTTGAGGAAGTGTTTAGCTTCAGTTATTTCAGAATGACACAGACTGCGACAGTATTAATAAAAAAGTACACATGCGAAATAAGGTCGGGGACGTTCTCAGTGCTAAATAAATTTAGGGTAATAGATTTAATTAGTACTGGAATCTGTTGAGCTACTTAATGCGTTGTTATTATGTGTAGCTACTGCTGTAGATATTAAATGCTTCAAATGAGAGAGTAATGAAATAAAAAAAATGCAGTTTGAAAGTTGAAATATTTTAACGCAATGTTAAAGCGCATTTATGTTATCTTAAACATGACTTAATCCTCAATTCTCAATGCAGAAGAGTTAAAAAAATAGATTTAATACGACATCAATGTGAAAATTGATTAAAATATTGCTTAAGGGAAAATATGAAATGGAAGAAAAGAAGTGAACTTAGAAATGAGATGTCTTAATGCATCATGAATGAAATGAAAGTCCAACATATATCGTCGCCATCGTGACATCGTCAGATTGTAATATTGTAGAGAATGGAATTATTATATTGATTTTAATTATAAATCACTTTAACCTAAATAGCATTCTTTCATACCGTCACAATTGGAATTGCATTTAGACTTTGTATTTATATGATTGGAACGTGCTCGAATCTTTTAATTTCTTCTCCTTTTATACTTCTCATTTATTTTCAATAATCGCTTTTTCTGATGAAGACGATAAAATCAAATTATATAGAATCAAATCTAATAAAAATGAGATGCGAAATGCATTGCGAGTTGTTTGGGCATCACAAGATAATTCCAATTAATCAAATATTTTAAAAAAGAGAGACTTTAAAAAAATGAGAAAGTGAAGTTTAAGTAAGAAGTGTTTCAACCAACATTACCCCTTTTTTCTCCATATTTTTTGCGGTATAATTTACAATAATTATGCTACTGAACGAAATGATATATTGAACTTAATGAAATTATGTCAGATCGTATAATTATTCTATCACTCAATTTTTACTATGCAAAAAGAAATTTAATTATATTTTATCGTTCGTTTATGTTGAGCAAAAATTTGCATGAAAAAATGTTTGCTTAACGATAATTATTTATCATGTACGATCAGGATTGTCTCATTTACTAATGTTTCAATCTTTTCTCTTGCATAAACTCCTAATTTTAATGAATAAGTTGTTAACAGGATGTGTATGTATAAAATCTGTCTCAACATTAAGAGCCAACCAATATTATTATTACTATTGTTACATCCCGCATTCCAATATATCAAAATTTTGAAGAAAGAATTTTATGTCGTAAATGTTGTTTAATAAAATAATGTCCATAAGCTATGTTGCTTTCATGTTATAATGAAAATAAATAAAAATATAAACATTCCAATAGTCGCGACGATGTAAAGTATAAACATTAAAAATGAAGAGAAAGAGGAAATTTTAATTTATGGAAATAATTTAAGAGAGATGACTTTATGGTGACTTGACGCAAACTTAGATGTGTATGAATGAAAAAAATGACAACAACAGCATCGTGTACAGTATAAATGATATGCTGCCAACTCGAACCATTCTGCCGTTTATGATAAATAATCTTTATTGAATCGAAACAATATAATTTTTTTAATTTAATTGTTTATTCATGCATTGGTTAGTAATTGATTGATCTTCGACCTTAATAAATTATTTTTAATTTCACTTTTCATCAACAAAACTTTATTTCAAAACTATCTTGCGTATTAGGTTGAAAAAAATGGATTTTTATTAGTGTGTGAATCATAAAGGTTATTCCTTTAAGAAACTTTGCTCTCTTTGCCAGAATCAGCACAAAATCTGTCAACGAACCAATATCTGACATTTATGTTTATATTATCTAAAGTCTATGTCTTCTTATTCATTAACAGATGGTATTTCCGGAAGATAAAGAGAATAGAGGCAGAGAAGAAACTACTGTTACCAGAAAATGAGCATGGCGCTTTCTTAATACGTGATTCTGAAAGCCGCCACAATGACTATTCATTATCAGGTACGATGATTATATTTTTTGCATACTGAAAGAAATTAAAAAGTCATTACTGAATCATACATTCCTTTTGTTTAGTGAGAGATGGCGATACAGTGAAACATTATCGAATTCGTCAACTCGATGAAGGAGGATTCTTTATAGCTCGTCGCACAACATTTAGGTATATTAATTAATTTTAAATTACTTACAAGACTTGTCATAATAAACATTCTTTATTTTTTGCCTTGTATCATTAATAATTCAGAACACTTCAAGAGCTAGTCGAGCATTATTCGAAAGACTCTGATGGATTATGTGTGAATCTTTGCAAACCATGTGTACAGGTAAGATGAACAGTTGATTTCATGCGGCAATAAAATTAATAATAATATTTAAGTCACCATAGTAATTGCTGTACATAAAAGTAAATATTATTATATACATCTTATATTCTTCATCATATAATTACAAATAGTCATAATGTATATTTAAGTATTGCGTAAACCTACTTACTTTTCTTTATCACTTACGTATAAGTTCATTAAATCATTCTCTTTCGCCTTTTTGATTTCATTTAGTTTCTTATGCTTTGGTTTTTTACATTTCTCATCAAATTTCTTCCTCTGTGTTAATTTCTTTTCGAACTTTTCTTTACAATTTATATATTTATTGCAATATGTAACATTCAAATCATTAACTGATTCTAAGGTGTGACGATAAAATTACTTCCAAAACTTGTTGTCTTGCTTGCTTTTCCGACATTCGGTAATAGAAAAAAATGCCGTTTATAAAATTTTTAAAATCTTATCTAATTGACTGATTTCTCTTTAAAATACTACTTTTATAAAAAAAATAATTCATCATGGAACTCATGAAAACAATCACTCAAATTACTAATATACTTGTCACCTGTTTATTAAAAATATTAAATTTATGAAAAATCATGTCGAGTATTTTTACAAGAAAATCACTCCAATAAAGTACAATGACCCCACTGGCATGCCTTAGATGATAACACAATCAATCGGACAATGAAACAGCAAAAATCATAAATGAAACATAAATTAATGATATGCACATTCAATTGATTGAATTTTTCTCTTTTTCTTTTTTCCTTCCTTTTTTTTTCGAATAAAATTGATATTTTATTAACAAATTAATAATAAAAATCTCAAACATTTGATTGAAAATTTCTGAAAAATTTGCGATAAATATGTAAAACAAAAAAAAATAATGAAAATTGCAAAATTACAAAATAAATAAATAAGACGGGCGGTTACATGTTTGAGGTAGGATTTTCTTTATTTTATTTTTCAAATCCAAAAACAAGACATATTAATTAATTTCTGTTAAGTTATTAATTTTTTTCTATTAGTTAATTCATTCTTTGTTACTTTTTTTTTATAGAAATGAAATTAATTGTTATAGATGTTCATTGCACCTTCCATGTATAAATAATATATCTATATATTTAATGGCTTCATTATGGCTAATTTTATTGCAAAATTATTTCATGTTCATGGTTTATAAAAATGATTTATTGTAGTGTAAAGACATTTCATGCACAGCGCAATAGAAATGTGCCGAAATCTACTCATTAATAATGTTTTGATATAAGCAACAGTATAGGTACATTAAAATAAGTAATTACATAAGTGTTATTCTAGAAAACAGTAATGAATGAGAAAAATTAACAGGTGTAGAAATTTAAGTCTGTATGATTTCTAAGTATCTTTAAACTTGAAGCGCGTCTTCCAAATTCAGCAAAACATCAGTCATCACTTTCTTAACCATTAACAACAAAAATATATGAGCACGAAATACACATTAATGTCCAAATATTGAAATCATTTTTGAGTCCATTACATTTAAATCATGTGGCTTTTATGGGGTTTACACATTATTTCTTGTGATACTTCAGTGAGACGTTTTAATTCCTTGAATTTATTCTATTTCATGACAAAAAAAAAACAAAGATCGGAATGAGAGAACTTCCTCATTCTCGAAAACGTTTTTACCATTTCGAGGATATTCTCTTCATTTATGTTTATAACTAAACCGATTGTTTACTGTTTTTCATCGCATTATTCCTTATGAAACATCAACAAAACGATTGAATTCTTTCCGTCTTTTTATCTGTTACTTAAAATCTTACCGTTTAATGTTGTATCCTCCACCATTCACGAGAGACATAAGTGTTGATATTAATAGCTCAGAATTTTTTTTATTGTACAAGATAATTTTTCAATTTTATTTCTTCTTACCTTTTCATTGCATGTAAATTGTAATTTTGCTATGTACACAAATACACACAAAAATATTATTATAGAGAATATGATGCTATTGAATAATTCATGAGATAATATTTTGTGTTTTTTCCTCTTTCTTTTCTTCCTCGTTTATTTTTTTTTTTTTTGTGTGAAATTGTGCAGATTGAGAAGCCTGTAACTGATGGCTTATCGCATCGTACACGTGATCAATGGGAAATTGATAGAAGCTCATTAAGATTTGTAAAGAAACTTGGATCTGGTCAATTTGGTGATGTATGGGAAGGTTTATGGAACAATACTACACCAGTTGCTATCAAAACATTGAAGCCAAGTAAGTATATTAAGAAGAAAATGCGTTGTCTTGCCTAAACGAATACATTTTTTACTGTCTTTTTCACTGTACTTAAATAAAAACAGATACTATGGATCCTAAGGACTTTTTAGCTGAAGCACAAATAATGAAGAAATTAAGACATAGCAAATTAATTCAGTTATATGCTGTATGTACACTTGAGGAACCAATTTATATTATCACCGAATTAATGAAGCATGGCTCATTATTGGAATATTTACAAGGTTTGTTTATTTTACCATTTTTAAATTATAAACTAAAGTATTTTTTTCAAATAGGAAAAGGACGAAATTTGAAACTTCCACAGTTGATTGATATGGCTGCCCAAATAGCTGCTGGGATGGCATATTTAGAATCACAAAACTACATCCACCGAGATTTGGCAGCGAGAAATGTGCTCGTAGGCGATAACAATCTTGTAAAGCTTGGTAAGTCTTTCAAAAATATTTTGAAAAAACTATCAAATTTTTGTGTAAAACCGATGAAAATTAAAATGTGTTTGATACAATAAATTTCATTATTACTTTCAGCTGATTTCGGTCTTGCACGCTTAATTAAAGAAGACGAATATGAGGCACGTGTTGGGGCCAGGTAAATTGAAGACCATATTTAATTTAAATTTAATATACAGCATTAACTAATTGATAATTCATTAACACTTATAGATTTCCAATAAAATGGACAGCACCTGAAGCAGCGAACTATAGCAGATTCTCAATCAAATCAGATGTGTGGAGTTTCGGTATTTTATTAACAGAATTAGTAACATATGGACGACTTCCTTATCCAGGCATGACAAATGCTGAAGTATTAACGCAAGTAGAGCATGGATATAGGTATAAGAATCATTGTCGCATCCTCTTGTCATCTACTAATATAATTACCTTTTTCTTTTCTTAGAATGCCAATGCCACCGAATTGCACACCTGCTCTTTATGAAATTATGCTTGAATGCTGGCACAAGGTAATTGATTACGATAATTTAATATCATGAAATCGTTCACTATGAAATTTACATAATTTTCTTCTAGGATCCAATGAGAAGACCGACGTTTGAGACATTGCAATGGAAACTCGAAGATTTCTTCGTAATGGACCAAAGCGATTACAAAGAAGCACAACCATACTGATTAACTGACGATGGCACGGCACAAAGCATTAGTGAAAAACGCGGTAAAAGTAAGAAGAAAAACTAAGACAAAAATCATTGTCCGTGCCATAGCGTGGAGGTTCAACGATCATGGTATTTTATTTTAAACAAAATTTGTTTGATATTTATTTTTATCATTCGAAAACAACATATATCTCCCATTCATAATATGAATTCCACTTACAATCTTTGACATGTTAAAAGTTATGAACAATTTTCAAAAAAAGTCAGTGTTCAGAAAGTAATTTTTAAGACGAAAAAAACACATATATATGTATGATATAATGACGCATTTTCAATAATAGCCATTCTATTATCATTCTAGACTAATCTAAGCGTTTATTCGGTTCCATTCAATTCCATTTTAATAATTTTCTCTTAAATAAGTAAATGACAAGGCATGACGCATTTTAAATAATTATTTTATATTTTCTATGAAGAATCCTTAATGAAAAAAAAAAAAGATATCCAATAAGAATGAGAAGATTTTAAGAATAAATGAGCATGTAAATATTTAAAATGAGGAGAGAAAAATGTTAGTCGCTTTATATGGTTGAAACAATAGAATGAGCTAAAAGATGAATTATATATATATATGAATATATATAAAAAAAAGCATGTAATTTAATTAGATAAATGACTATACCAGAAATTGATTAAAAATAGAACAACAAAAAAAAAAGAGAAGAACATGATGAATACGAAAAGTTTAGGATTAATATGTTCTAGCTATAAATAGTTTCGATTCTCATAAGAAGCAATTTTTATATTAATTAATAATGAAAACAGAAAATCATTGTAAGTAGTTTCAATAATCTAATCAATAGAGAAAGGATTAAATTTAGTTTGTGGCGGTCTCAATCGTACAATATGAAAATTTCGAAACTCAAACAAGGAACATAAAAAAAAACTATCAGAGACAATTGCTAAGAAAAATATACATTTAATGCATAGAGGAACTAAAATTGTTTAATTTCATCTTCTCAATGTGTCAGTTATATACAAGATTAGCTATTTATAAGGATATTTTTGGCAATAACTTAACTTTCAGAGATTATAAATTATTTTTACGGTTTAAACAAGAATATCATAATAGTAATTATTTTTATTTAAATTTAATTAATTTTCATTGAGCATAAATGAGGAGCATTTTACATGAATAATGGATATTATTGACTTATAAAGATCAAGCATGCATTAACAGACTGATCAAAAAATAAAATCAATCATTTTTACATTAATATTATTAAATTCTTATAATGTCTTGATGCCATTTTTTCGACAAAGCTCCTCAATCAAATGTTCATTTTATTAAGTTGAGCAAAAATCTGCAAAATTTTACGTTGCATGTCCTTGATTTAATTTTTTTACAATCATGTTTTCTTCAGTATCTTCATTGCAATTGTTTAAACCCATCACAAAGAAATTTTTACATTGTTTTCAAATCAGAAAGCTTTAAGCTTATCTCAATCTCAAACAATTACAAAAAATTACATTTTGCTTTTATGTTTGTATTTAATTATTATTTTTTGTTCATACCACGAAAAAATGTAATGTAAGATTTAAGAAAAAAAAAATCAGTGTTTCCGGAGAAATCCATAAATATTTTATAAAAAAAAATCAATAAATTTGAAAATTAAATAAAAATTTTAATTAAACGTTCATGCTTGTCATTTCCTTTTTTTCAGTTACTTCGCCATAAAACCATTAAAAACAAGAAAAAATTTATCTTCTGATTAAAGCAGGATAACACGTACTGTTAAAGTTTGGGGAACCTGTTAACAGTAAACAGTAAAACAGCTGTTCTATATCCTATTTTATTATTTTTTGGATATTTAACAAGTTTAAAAAAAATTGCAAACGAAACTTTAAATTTGTTAAACTTTTGTACTATTTACTTAAATTTCAAAAGTATATTCAACAATTTTATTAAAAAAATTACAAAAGTTCTCGTGTTATTGATCGAGGGACTTAAGCGCATTTTTGTGTTAACGATCAGCATTTGATTGTCTATTTATTTTGCTTTCATATACAGATCATTAGAAGATTAGAAGATCATTGATTTTAGTGCAATTAGCAAATAATTACAATGAATGCTTACATAGAAAAGCTTTATTTTTTAAAGCTCAATAAATAATTTGAAATTTTCCCGCTAAAAGTTGCTTTTCAAAAACAATAACTATAGTATAATTAATAATTTGTAGAAATGAATTTCCATATAGAAAAAGTTTATCGTATAACGGTTTTTTGAGATTCAAATTTTCTAACGGTCAGTAAGTTTTTGAAAGCTTTCCAGCAGAAGATACACAAAAAATCATTAATTATAGTATATTTCGTATATTTAACAATTTAATATCTTTAATTCTCATAAAAAAATTGTTCATCATTTAACGGTTTTCTGAAGTTCAAATTTTGTAACGGTCGTATGCATTTGAAAGTATCTTGCCAAAAGTTACAGTAAAATCATTAATTATAGTATAAATAACAGTCTGTTGCAAAAAATTTTCATTTAAAAAGGCTTTGTAATTCAACGGTTTTTTTGAGATTCAAAATTTTTCAACGGTAGAAATAAATTCGAATTTCTAAACGCTCTCATCACGTGTTTTTTCATATGAAATATAATAATCATTAATTAAAGGACAAAAAGACTGTTTCAAGACTTTTAAATGCGTTTCCCGAAAATAAAGCAATGGACCTGAGCTAATAAAACAAACTAGAACTCTCTACGATGTCTAGTTAAAAAGTTTTTCTCCGCCCGTACGAACAGACAAAGTGAGATATTAAGCTACCTTTTCGAAACAAGTTTCAAAAATGCGCTAAAAATTCATTATCTTAAGAAAACATGAAGGTTTATTTTAAATTCAGGAAAAACGGGAAAACAGCTGTTTTTAAAAATCAAAAACCAAAAACAGCTGTTTTTAAAAATCAAAAACCGAACACAGCTGTTTTTAAAAATCAAAAACCGAAAAAACCGACGGTTTTTCAAAAATTAAAGTGATTTTAAATCATTTAAATCATATAACATATGAACTCTTAATAAAGCAGCAGCTTTTTCATCTTAAATGTTGTTTTAAAAACTGTAAATGTTGAAGCGTTGACATCCAAAGTGTTTTTAATGGTTTATAAAGACGATTTCGTATTTGCAACTCTGCACAATTGCATGACCCAAGATATATCAATGTTATATACCCAGCCACAATTTTTGTTTTGCGAATCACTCATAACCGACTTGTCATGACTGGATGCTCGAATTTCATTTCTATCACAATTACTAATGAGCGTTACTTCAGGAACTTTTTAAAACTGTTTTATTGCAAAAACTTTAAAGAAAAAAGTAATAATCAATAAACAGAATTTATGTAAAGAAACGTGCATACATCAAAAATATCTTTATCCTTTAACCTCCTTTAACCCGTTCTTTACTAGCGTAACATATATGTTACGCCAACTTTTTCGTTTAATTCTCTACAGTAGTTGGTTTTACGTTGAATCTTATTAATGATTTACATTTATAGTTAGATCAAGTACCTTCTTCAACATTTAATGCTGCATAATTATGTAAATTGGAGAAGTTAATTAAACTTTTCTTATACATTGAAAATTTAGTCATTTTGAAACTCAAAATTTCAACATTTTCTGACACATTTTTGATCAGAACTGGACAGATTTATAAAGTAAAGCATCTATAGTTATAGTTAAAAACTCATTAATAAAGATAAAACATAGTTAAACACATTAACTATGTGACGATAATAAATGTAACATATGTGTAACGCTAGGAAAATACGATATAAATTGCCCGTTACTTATGTGTACGGCTTAATCATGATAAGAGTGACGTATTTTTTGGCATAAATATTAACATTAGTGCTTCATGGAGGAATTTTTTCCATTAGAAAAAAATTTGATTATAAAATTTGGAGAAAATTTCAAAGTGATTTTTTTATGATTTAAACTGATTTCGCGTGATTCTTAGTTAAATGATTAATAAAATAGAGTGAAAATAACGAGTTAGTGAGGTATAAACGCTGAAAAATGTCTCATTTCAAAGATATGACATAAAATAAAAGTGTATATATTTTTGAGTTATTTTCGTTTTCCTATGAATTAGAGTGTTTAAATTAAAGTCCAATTATGTGAAATAGCATATAATTAATTAAAAAGTTTTGCATTATTGACATATGTAAAGCAAAGAGGTAAAATAAAAGAATTTAAGTTTTTGGAAGAAAAAAATTTTTTGCTTCCAAACTCCTAGCGTAACATATATGTTACGGACAAAATTTGTTAATTCTATTAAATCTGTGCATTTATTTGAGCCAAACTCATCGTCAAACTTATTTTTATACTGTAATTCATCAAATAAATGCACTCTAATGGCTCAAAAAAATTCCGTAATTAACGGGTTAAGGATGAGAAGGAAACAAGTTATCTCAATTTTATTATATCTTTTCTAAAAGACTCCAAAATTATTTCTCTGAAAATTAATTATAAAAAGTCAGGTGTAGATGTAAAGACTTAAAAAAGCAATAAAGCAGTTCAAGTTGACTGATAGATTTCACTTTATTTTCGTAACTAATGTCTTCAAAGGAACAGTAACAGCTATACAATAGGAAATTTAATTCTTTTTGCAAGAAATGCTTTACAATTTGTTTTATTATGAAGAAATTTATTTTTAAGATAAATGACTTTTAAGAACGTACAGCAGGAGAAGGAAGGTATGAATAGATATATGTTTTGTATGATATGTGATAAATATATCATCTCAATTTATATGCTATGAGAATTTATAATGTAATCAGCTCCTAAGTAAATGTACGATAATTAAAAATTATCTTTAATTAAATTTTTGGTAAATTCAAAGACTTGATGTGAAACATTCCGAGACTTTCTCATTCTATTTTCTTGTTGTTTTTAAATTGTACATCATTATTTATCAAGACGTGATCAATGTTTATTTAAGTTTCAATAACTCTTTCAGATTCTTGATAGGTACATAAAAAAATAAGAAACAGCAAAAGCGATTTTTAAGTTAAAAGATATTTTTTGCACGCTGGAAGCATTTTAATGGTTGGAATGTCTGAAAAATGCTCGCAAAGTTTCAAACAAAGCTTTGATAATTTGAAGAAAAAGAATTCAAAAATTTAATTCCTACTTTATATTTTGTGGTAAATCTTTTTTTAAAATCTTTAAAAAAAAATCCCTCAACTATACTTTATTATCCTCTTTTCACCATTCTTTTTCATCAACATGTGTCCCATGAGACTATTTAAATGAAATACTTTATATATAAACTTCTTTGCAAATTGTTTGTTGCTACAAAATATAAATGTTCAAGAAAAGAATTTTCTCATTTCTTATTTACATAAATTCATTTGAATGAAAGCAAATTAGACAATTAGACTTCCTCGAAGCTTTTGCACTCGGGAACTTTCGCAGACCACGTTCCATCTTGCAAACATTTTGGTCGTTCCGGTAATCCACTATCTGTTGTATGAACAACAAAGCCTTCACGACATTGTACCGATAAGTAGTCGCCAGGATCATAAAAGAACTTCAAGGGTGCAATTAATCCATTAACAGGGTCACCTGGATATGGACATTGTGCTTTACCTAATGACATAAAAAGTTAAATATTAGAGAAAATGGAAATATAAGAATCATCATGATGGAAATGAATGAAGCTTAATTGGGTTTATTCTTCACTTGAATTTTGAATGTAAATTCCTACCGACTATCGTCATTATCATGCTGTGCAATACTTACAGATAGGCGGAATATTCGACCAAAAGCCTGTAAATGATAGACATGAGCACATCTCATATCATAATTAAAATAATCATAATACCTGTTTCCGAGCACACAATAGACGTTTCTCCTGAAAAATGTAAGTGCATTGTGCAGCATTAAATTAGATTCAAGATGCATCTAGATTTATTAAATTACCTTGCAGTACGTGCCCTTCATTACAACTAAACGTCAGTAAAGCACCGACAGCATATTTTCTTTGACCAGGAAAAACTCCAGATGTTGAATCTATTTTACCATTTAACGGAATAAGAGGCTGGGGACATTGAATTGCTATGCAAGAGAGCAAACAGGAAAAAAAAATTCTCTTTACTTTAATGCCAATTTAAAATGTAATTTTCAGTTAATTTTCTTCCAATTTGTTTCATACCCAATGTCGCTTCTTTATAGTTTATAATGCAAAATGAGAAAACCAGCATATCCGGACTAAATTAAACTTAATTTAATAAACATAATCCGAAAATGCTTATTTTAGAATTTATAAATGAATTTGGGAAAGATGTAATTGGAATAAAAATGCATTAGGTACTAAAATGTTTATCTACATACCACGACATCTTGGAACAGCTTGACTCCAATGACCAGATGCAAGACATTCAAGAGTTGATGGGCCGCTTAATTTATATCCCCACGAGCATGAAAAGACAGCGCGTCCTATATCAAAAAAATGTCGCGAGAAAAAAATAAATAAATGTCAGTAAGAAAGAGAATGATGGATATGCGACGAAAAAATTACCCCAAGCACTTGTATTTAATTCAATTAAGCTTAAATGTGGATCCTCGAGGAAGAGTGGTGGACATTGTATTGGTATGCAAGAAGGTGGTGGTGAACTCCAGTTTCCACTTGCCAGGCAAGTCAGATTAGCGTTTCCTTGGAGAATATATCCCATTTGGCACCTGTTATCATTTTATCATGTGTATGAATGCAAAAGAAGAGAAGTCGGATGATCATTAATATTGATAAAGGAAGGAATAAAGTGACATTTCAAGTTCATGAAACGTAAATTATTATAAAGCACCTGTAGATTGCTCTTTGACCCAATTTGATACCTTCCAAACGTAACGACAGTGGTAAACTCGGTTCTGACATAGTAGGACATTGAGATACTGTTCATATAGCGATAAAAATATACAGCATAGAAAGGATTAAGATTAATGGAGAGACATTTACCGAAATAGTCTACATTTATGGTTTTACCTGCAACAACGATTGTTATACTATTTGTCAATCCTCTGGGTGAGGCACATGTATATGTACCAGAATCTTGCATTTGAACATCTTTTATTGACAATCGATATCTTGAAGCTTTTTCTTCCGGAACAGCACTCCATCCTTTTATATTTATGTGAGATGAAATTATTTGAATTGCAAATTTTCATTTTAAATACAAATCTTCGATCTTACCAGTTAAATATTGTCTAAACCATCCAGTCCATGTCCATTCCTATTTGCATGAATGAATAAGTAAAGAAAATGAAATATTTTTCTTGTTTTATCTTCTGACAGATCTGGGTTGAAAGCAAACAACTTACTGGACTTCCTTTCTTTCGTGGATACATACAATCCAAATGTAATGTACTTCCAGGCAATACTGCGAGCATTCCAGAAGGTTCATAACTTGCAGAACCAACACCGACTTTAATGCGAATTGATGGTGGGCTATCATCAGAATAATTTGTAAGGAGAGTTGTTGGGACACATTGTGGTAGTTTTGGAGCCCATAAACCGTTGCTGCACAACACTTTTGCCTCACCAACAAGTTTATATAAACCCAAATCTGCGCAACGTGCTTGTAATGTATGACCATGTGGTAGATCCCAATTTAGAGTCTAGAGAAAGGAATATAGTTTTCACTTTAATAATTAAAATCCAATTAAGTTTATACTTACGACAGAAACATTTTTATAAGAGAGTAAAAGATGTTGAGGGATACCATCAACAACACATCGCTTATATAAAGGTTCATATTTGATTTGACCTCCTTCATCTTGTTCGAGCACGGCACACAGTGGTCCCTGCCACATCCCATCAATACATTTAATTTTACAGTTTCTATGCGTCCCTAAAGGTCCAACTTCTGCTGGAAAACGTACTTCAGAAACTTCCCTAATTAAGTTAATTAATTCAATTATGTGAAAGATTTTCTGCCTAATTTCCAATTAATCTCATTATTTTACCTAAATTGTCCTTGTTCGGGTGGTTCTTCTACCTCATCGCTGTCTTTATCTGTTTCTTTTGACTGAACTCTTTCCTCATCAGAGTCATCAATTTGAAATTGCCCATCATCATCTATCGTTCCGTGAGTTTTGCGGCCAGTTGATGTCTTCTTCGAATCCGATGATGATTTGGGCCTATTTAATGCTGATGTTGTTTTGCCTGCTAATACCATATAAAAACTTAGTCATTTGAAAATTCAATTAAATGATTTGTTTTTCTCCATCCAACTAAACCTACCGGATTTTCTCTTTACTCGCGTTTTGCTGCTCTTTGAGATAATATCACCTTCATGAAATTTATTATTTGCCTCGAGCTCCCTTAATTCTTCTAAAATGTCTTCAAGGTCATACAGATCTGAATCTGAATAAAATGATATTTATTTTTTATTATGGTTGAAGGTTGGAAGTTTGGGGAAAAGAGAATTCAATAAAAGAATTTGTAAATAAAAAGGGATTACCGATTAAATCAGTTATTTCGGATTTTTGTTACTTTATTTATTTTGTGTTTTAGAAAATTGTATTGCAAGCTACATCCTTTCAAAGTTTTCATGAGAAATAGAACGATTCCTATACTTTCAAAAAATCTTGTCAAAAAAATATATTCAGATTCTCTCATCAAGGAACCAGACAACCCATAAATAAAGTATTGCAAGCTACTTCCTTTCAAAGTTTTCATGAGAAATAGAACGGTTCCTGTACTTTCAAAAAATCTTGTCAAAAAAATATATTCAGATTCTCTCATCAAGGAACCAGACAACCCATGAATAAATCAAAAACATGAATCTGTATTAAACCAAAAAATAAAAATAAATTTAAAACAAACTTACCAACATCTCTATTTCCGGTTAATCCGTTAATGTTACCTTGAATTGTATCATTTGCATTAAAAATATTCTCGATGACATCTGAGGGTGATAAAACCTCATCTGGCATTATTATTTCATCATCTTGATAGTCAACACTTCGCTTTGCCAGGATTCTTTCATTAAGTCTCATACTGTTGCTGATGCCATGTATTGTCTTTAATTTCCTATAGTGATTTCTTTTTGCACGACGTGTATTATGATGATGATGATGTTGATGATGGACATTACTTTCAGAATGATAATGAGGTTCAGCATCCTTTACAATCCAATCCTCAAACCAATAAGGATTCTCTTTTACATTTGAGGCATCCTTTTGTGTATTTTTATCTATCTGCTCGCTCACGATGCTTCCTGTTTTATCTTTCGCCTTTCCATCTACAAACTCTAAATCGTGTGATGTAAAATCTTGTGGCAAATAAAGAGTCGTTGTTTCAAAAGTTACAAATGGTTGTTCTGTTGTTGCCATTTTTCCTTTGGAACGTGAAACCTTAAAATCAGGGGGTGCACAACCAGTTACAGCCTCTGGCAAAAAGAAGTACAAAAAAAAATGAAATTTAACGCCAAATCGTGCAACTAGGAAAAATGATTCTAAATTAAAGTGATTAATAATTCATAATGCGAAATGCTTTCAGTTGTGTGCATAGCATGAAATGCTTAACTCTAGATATGGACATGAAAAGGCAAAGCAGAGAGCAAGAGTGAAAGATATCATTATCCTCAGCCGCAATGAATTTTTAAAATCTCTCGTTTACTTCTGTCTAAAATATCTGCACGACTATATGGAATTATGAGAGAAAGAAGATCTGCTTCTATATTTTCATATAAATAAGGAAATTGCCTACATTGTAAAATGAGGAAATATGACAACAGGTTAGATCTAGGAAGGAAGGATTTAATACATTGTTAAGATGACAAGTGTGAAATTTTAATTAGCCAGTATTAAAAAGGGCATGATGTTTTATTAAACATGACAGGTCTTATTATATTTTGTAAAATAAATATTGTTTTTGCCTTTTCTACATCACTTTTATAATATTATGTGCTAATATTTCCTCCTAAAATTCCTCATCACATTGAGACATATACGCACATCCCACTTTTCTTTCTATTTGAACAGTTCTCGTATGGGTTTCTAAAAAACATTTTGTAGCTGTTGTATCATCATCATCATCATCATATGCTTTATATTTTACAAATTTATTTACATGAAGCATGAAATGTTTACATAGATAGGAGGAGAATATAAGTATTAAATTGGAGGGTTTAAAGGAATAAAGATCCAGTCAAACGTAAATGATTCAATTTAAAATATAAAATGTTGTCTTTGCATTTTACTAAATAATTCCTCATTCTGTATACTGTAAAAAGCACTCAAATCTAGTAGGAATTAAAATCTTATTTCTCAGTGGTTTGTAATTGATTGTTTTTGTCAATTGAAATGCAGATTGCATGCTTTATTAAAATTTAGAATTTGTAACTTCAACTCAATATGAATTTGAGATCAAACTATAGTTTGAAGCATAGAAAAATTAAATAATCTAAATTATGCTTCATTCAAAGTGCTCAAAAACTGCTAAAGTTTTGCCATTTAGGAGAATGATTTTGCCACAAAATCCCCACAGAATGAATAAACAATGTAAAATGGCAGATAAAGTAAAAACTTTTAATGAACAAGATTTAAATGTTAAAGCAGAAAAAGCTTGTATGTAATAACAAAGTTTTCTGAATTAATCTGTTTGTATTTTGGTTGAATGACGATTGCTCTGTTTTCCATATGTGATATCGTACCCTATAAAAAGGACAAGAGCAAATATTAAACCTCAGACCATATTTTCATTTCTCTTAACACACATACAATTTTTAATTAACAATTTGGTCAATAAGCAAACGCAAAATTCGTTTCAATAATGGATGCTTGAACTTCTACGCGAAAACATATAGTGACTACTTGAGTTTTGAATAGTTTTTCATCAGCCATGCTTGTGAAATATTTTAGCAACATTATATTATTAAAAAGCTTATTTTCTGATTTCTTATGGTAGATAAATTAGCAATTTTTTTTATTTGTAACTAGGCTATTTGGGGGCATCCGTGGCTCCCGTTATCAGAGTTTAAATTTGACTACTATTTTGTAAATAACTATAAGACACAAATAACCGTAATGTTTTTAAGGTCAATCCTACCACAAAACTTCACATGGTTTCACAAACCCCCTCAGACTCGGACCCCCTAAATCCCATAAAAATTTTATAAATGGCTTCACAAAGCACATTCAAAGCCCCTCCCCCCCACTTGACACCCACCTTGACAACACTCTCCAAATTATTGGCTTCACATGGGTTCCGTTTTAGAATCAGGGAGGAAATTGGGTGTTTATATTATAGAAGACTTTAAAAGGATGTTGAAAGGTCCAGATGTCATACTTAGTAAAACGAGCATTCATGTGTGGTAGTTTGCTAATTATTGTATTGATCATGTGATTGACATTTTATTTTATAGCCCCCCATCTACATCATGCTCTTTTTTTATTCCTGCTTTTAACAAGTACTTAAAAGAGAATATGAGAAATGTAGGAAAACAGACAAATTAATTTACACTAGAACCTGTGGTGTGCTGAAATTGATTGCATAATTAATTGATAATTGTTAATTAAATGCAGTGTCAACAGAATCAACACAGGTAAATCGATTATGTCTTGTTATTTGATTAATTCATTTCCATTTCGTGTGGAAAATACAAAATTTGTTCAACATAAATTAATTTAAATATTCTTTATGCTATTTTAAGCATAATTTCTGCATTTTTCAATTTCCCATCCCAGAGTGAATGAGAATAGACAGTGGGAATCAATTAAGGAAGATTTCACGAAACAGCTTTTATGCATAAAACTCTTTCATTGTTTAAAATAGTGAACAGATTATAGTTTATTCAGAATTTAAATAGAAAATCTTTGAGAAGAATTAATTGTCCTCGATTTTAGAAAGTTCTCTTCCCTGTTACTTGATTAATACGATTCAGAAAATATATTTCATATTTCACATATGTTTTCCGCTTGAAGTCCAAGGCTTAGATTATTAAATTACGTCCATATTAAACATATTAAAATGCTTAAAAAAAATAAGGACCTTATTTAATGAGAAGACGTAGATTTTGGATGCAAATAAAAAAAAACCCATGACATTAAGTAGATATTAAATAAGACATTGAATAAAAATGTTAAGTTAAAACCTTAAAACCTTCATAAACCACTGAATATGAAGTACAAAAATTATTTTAAAATTCTTAAAATATGAATTTTTGTCTTTTTTCAAAAGTTTTCTTTTCCTTCCTTTATTTTTCAATAATTCATGCATACAAAAAAGCATCATAAGATGGCTTTAGCTTTTTAAAAGGAAAATGATTTATTCAATAATGCTTCCTTTTCTTCATTATGCTCTCTATGCTGCCGAGTTTTTTTTTTATTCTATTCGTTATTCGTTATTCAGGAAAGTATTCATTCCTTACTTCTGTGGTATTTTTGATATTTTAAAGTTTTTTCCATTAGACTAATTTTTTCTTACTATCTTTTGCTCGTCTTCAAATAAAAAGGGATCCTGAAAAATCATTCTTTCATATTTTAAAACATGCTACTAATCACCAATGACTGAATTTATTTAGAACCTAGGAAAAACTCAATACCTATGTGATAATAAATAGTAAAAAGCTAGGCCGAAAACACAAAAACGCACAACCTAATATTTCAGCATCCCTAAATTCACAGTGCAAAAGCAGCAGTAAGTAAAGCTTTTTATTTGTATAACAACGTAAATAAAGGACATTGAATTTATCATTATGAGAGCGAAATAACTTGCTTCCACTTTATATTCAGGGATAAGTAAAAGATGCTCATTAAGGGAGAGTGAGAGACGGTAAAAGTACAAAATATGTATGTAAATACGGCAAATACGAAGGAAATTTTTTATTTAAATTTAATTATGTGCTGATAAAGACTTGGTCCTTTTTATTTTCATTATTTCTTCACCTCTGCGATTTCTTGATTTTCAGAGTTTTGAGCATGAATTTTGGGATATTTAAAAGAGACACAAGATCTTTCTCTATAATAAAAATTTTAATGCTAAACAGGCACTTGAACCATACATCCTCTATATCTTCCAACTAATACAGTCAGTAGCTAAATTTGAAATTTTACGACATCATCGGTAGCATTGTGGTTTGAGGACACACTTTTGTTTCATGTTTTTCTAAACATTATTTCTTTATTGTGAGCTTATGTTTTCCTCCATAATTTTCATTACTCGCTTTCCTTATTTTTCGGCAAGAAAATGAGAAAATTTCATTCTTTTTGCTTGCGGAATGGAAAATAAAAAGATAGAAAAATGCTGAAATTGAAGCTTTTTCTTCTCTATTATTCCTCAAGTGGGGTGGAAAATGGAGCAAACAAACAATTTTCATCTTTTCCATTCTTTTATTTTCTAAAAAAAATTAGAAAAGGATTGTAGATATACGAAATGTGGAAAGAGGAATAACAACAAGATATCAAGCTCTACATGTGAATTTCCTTCATCTCCAAATACACAAAACATTTATATTTCATTCAAAAAATGCTCTTTTCGTTTTACTCCTTCGTAAGCACGTAAGCAGTTTGAGTGCTAAAGTATAAAAAATATTTAAGAAGTGACTTTATCATTATTATCAGTAAAGCAATTTCATCCATTTTAGTTCAAATAAAATATGAAAGGACTCTTAAATAAATAATATAAAAGAAAAGGATGGAAATCCTTGAGTTTCTCGAGCCTTTAATTAAATCTTTTCCAAGGCTTTCATTGAATATTGAAAATGAATTGAAATCAGTGGTCTATTACGTTGGAGTGTAACAATTGCTGATAAATTATAGTTTCATAACTTTCTTTTGGTCTGCAAAAACCAGTCAATTTTGATTATTTTATTATATTCTCACCGGTTTCACGTGTGAATCACGTGTGTTGGTTTAGTTCAGTTTGAAAAATAAGTTTTTTGAATTTTGTGAGGAATTGGAAGCAAGAAAGCTTAATATGTCCAAAAATGAAAAGTTTCCTTTTGCAAGATTTTAAATTGGTTGCAGCATTGTCGAGAAAATCACAAAATACGCTTTCTGTAAGCAAGCAAAAAAGCAAGCAAGTTAATCAGCAAGAAATCTAAATAACGAGACATCGGAAAGGAGCCGTTCACTTATTACGTTCGTACTTTCGGGGGGGTGGGGGGGGGGGGGGGGGGGGTGAAAAATTGTAACAAAATGTAACATAGGGGGGGGGGGGGGGGGGTCAAGAAGTATGTAACGTTCTAATTGTCGTCTGTCTTTTAAAAAAAAAGTTCACGAAAAAAATTTGTTTACAAATTCACATACCAAAAACATTTTTTTAAATTTTTCACGTTTTTAATGATTTATGAATGTCCAGATCTCTTTTGATAGCTAAGCAATACATTGTTTTTGTAACAAATCAATAGAAAACTGGTTTACAAGACTTTAAAATACAATCATAATTTGTGGAAATTTTCAAAATTAAATCAATCATAAGTTTAAAAGTAAATCTCTCTAAATCTGTCATTCATATGATGATTAATATGATCCCATCATTGTGATATTTACATAAAGTTGATTGTCCAAAATTCGATCGGGCATATTTTTGAATTTTCTTCAAAAAAAACAAATTTTTGCTTTATATCTCAATCTAATAATTCATGAGAATACTAATAGTATCAATCAAAACATGACCTATTTAGCTGTACAGTATTTTGATGTTTAAGAAAAAAAAATACAAAAGAAATTTAACCGTCTTTTTAGAATAAATAATTATCAAAATAAAATAAATTATGAACGTTCGGGGGGGGAGGGGGGGGGGGGGGGTTGTGAGTTGTAACATATTGTTACAAGGGGGAGGGGGGGGGGGTGTGAAAAAATTCGTTTTTTTGCGTAACGTAATAAGGCCCCAAAGACTTCAAGTTTTTTAAATTTGATCCATGCTGCTCTATAGAAGAGCTGTATTGTTTTTGGACAAGGTAGGAACAGCCGTTGGTTCAGAAAAAGCAAAAAACCTTCCTTTCTTACGAATTTTTAAAAAAACATAATTTTACTATGATTATTATGATAAAAACTTTTAAAGAATGTTTGGTGTATACGTTAAGCTATAAGCCTTCAAACATATCCTGAGCGGAGCTTCGTCTATCCACAAGACTTTTGATGGTACGGTGTGAATATGTCCGCATTGGCACAATGATTCAGATTCAGAAAAAATGTTCAAAAATAACATATTAATTAAACTTCATCTTTTAAATGCAAGATTAAAGATCTTAACTTGGGGCATATTCAGTGAAAATATCTCGTTTCATTTGGATGTCTAACACCAGAAATCATTAATTTATTTTCAACAAAAATTTGTTTACATTTTGTATATCAAAAAAATTCTTTGATTTTCTCTACTTTAAGCTGTTATTTCCTTATCTTGCTAGCTGTTGTTAGCTAAGTTAAGCTTAGATTTGCATATTAAAAGTACCAAATCAAAAGAAAACTGCTTATTAAGTCTTAAAAATGCAATTGAAATCTGAGTATTTTTACAAAACTTAAACTATTCAAAAGTTTAAAAGTCTTCCAAAGACCTCTCTGAAACCTATATAAATCAATTATTTAAGCTTAAATCTATCTCCCATATTACTGAGGACATGCCGTTTGATGCCGTTTTCGAGATATTTGCGATCAAAGTTTACATAAATTTTCATACAAAATTTGATCATGCACAATATTTTTTGGTAAACTTTCACAAACTTTTTGTAAGAAATCATGTTTATTCATCCTTTATATTAAGGACTGCTTTTTTGAGCAATGAACGAAAACATTATGTAGAAGATGCTAAAAGAATCAAATCAAGATAAATTAACAAAAACTTTCAATTCTAATGTGTCGGAAAAATATTGTGCACAAGGAATTTTTGAACATTTTTTCTGAATCTGAATCATTGTGATTGGGTTTCTCCCCGAACGGTAGTTTTAAAAGCAATTTTACTCAAAAATCAAAGCTTTTACTTTGAAAATTCAATCAATATAATTTTGAGCAGGTTTACCACAGTTTGCTATATTAGCGTGCTCTAGAAAAATTATATGTCCTCGCGCATTTAAGAGACGCTCCACAAAGTTCAAAAGCATAATATTTAAAAGCACAGATTCTGATAATCTATGCAATCAATTATGAACAAAGTAAAGTTCAAGATGTCTTTGAAAATTTCTTAAAAGCTTCTTTCATTTCAGTCATACTGCAATCAGATAAATAAAACATTATCTTAATAATTGGTTCAAACAAGAATCAAAATGAAAATTTTCAATGCGAAAGCTTTTTAATAGCAATTAGTACTTAATTAAATTTTCCAGCCTGATGCACGCACAAAAGAATGCTTGTAAGATAAAAATGAAGAAATTATGAAATATTAAAAATGGGATTATAATTGTAATTTTTTGATGAGTGTGACACAATTTCTTCTTTTCGTTGCTCTCACTTCATTCTTTCAAGTGCTGCTCTACTTTATCATCATGTGAAGTATGAGATAATTCAAAACACGAGAAATTTTCATTTAATCTTCAATGTTTTTGCCTACCTACTGCTCTACTTCTTCGTATGTTATACTTTATGTTTTCAATATTTTCTGTGCTCAATAATGTCCTAGGGTTGAAAACATTTGCTGTTCTGTTCTAAATGTTAGAAAAGCCTTTTAAATTAGCACAAATGTTCACATTAGCATCTATATTCGATGACACTTCAGTGAACATATTAAAATAATATCCTTCGAAAAATGAAAGTAAGTAAAGAATTTTACATTCCTTGCGTTACTGGTGGTTTCTATATCTTGGCAAAAACACCTCGAAAAATACGAATAATCTTGCTTGCTGTGAAAAAACTTTGACGAGTTTGGTGGGAGGAGATGAATACCTATATAAATTTATAAAGTCGGAAGATGAAAAGTTAAACATTTTCTTTTTTATTACATCTCAAATTCAAAATTAATTAAAGAAAAATTGGAAATTGATTTAATCAACAGATGTCGATACTCGTCGATAAATTTCCATAAGTGATGCAAAATCTGTTCATGAGATTAATAAAAAAAAAATCTTTGGGGATTGAATAAAACGCAATTCATATTTGATCGATGTCAGCAAATAAAAATTTAATATTTTTGACAGGTGATGAAGAAATGTTTCGTATTTTATGCACCGAGCAGTAAATGTGCAGCATTATGAGCATCATTTCATCATGAGGATTTCATGAGGAACTAAAGTATAACTTAAAGTAGAATAAACTTGAAAAGAAAAAGAGGAGAATGTTCAGCTTTAACTGGTAAGAGTCGCTAATAATGCTGAACTTTTTTGGCACCATGTTGTCAATAAATGTCTTGGATTCATTTTTATTGATATTCACTTTTCAAGAATGGAGAAAATTCTTTTTTATTTTAGAGAAACCAGAAAAGTCACAGCACGCGAATTGGTGCATTTATATCAATGGTAATAGATACAAGCTTAAGAATTTGATATTGAAATGTAGAATGGAGATAAAAAGAAAGGAGAGAACACAAAAATTCCCAGATGGTTTTCACTTTATCGCCTTTTTATGCTATCAAGATGTCTCAAAAACGAACATGAAAAGGATGTAAAGAATGAAAAATGATTATTACCTGGTTCGAGTGTTGTTGTTGTCGTCGTGGCATCGTCAGCATATATAAATCTCGCATTTAATGTGATAAAAATCAGCAAAATGAGGATGCCATTTGATGGCAAATTGTTGAGTTTCATGATGGAATCTTTTGTCATCAGTTCTTTCTTTTATTCTTTATGCTTCTATTGTCACATAAAGTCAACAGATAAAAAGTTGCATAAGCTTTCAATTGCAATAGTAATTCTTTTCACAACAAATGGATTCTTTCACTTTTCATAGTTGACTCTCTTTTTTTCTTCCTTTCAAATATCTGTTCTATTATGCTACATTAAATAGAGATCTTTTGTATATACATTTGTGCATATATGCATGTATTTGTTCAATTCAATGAATGACAGAAATAATTCCACATATGCAAATTACTATTTGCTTTATATCCCCCTCTCAATGCTATTGCTGACACTGCTGCTTTTTTTTATTATGAAACTTTTATAGATACTGGAAAAATGCTGATGTATTCACCCAAATACCTATACATTCACATACCCACACGTGGCATTTTTGCAAGCTTTGTTTGATAAAAAGTGGAAAAATCTTTTTTTAAACTTTTGCTGTGCATTTAACATTATCTCATTCATATGCATCTTTAGATGAATATGTGACATTTAACAGATATTATAACTAAATATCTTCTCTTATGTTGTCTGTTTGCACAGTTGGATTTCGCTTTGAAAATGACACATAAAGTACAAGACAGAAATTTCAAATGTGTAAAGATGCTGATTTTGCTGTTAAATAAGTCTTAATAGGTCTTAATGTAGTCTATTTTGTCGCTCCTATACGCTTAAAATTGGACTATTTTTAAATCAATGGTAAACTAATGACCAACTAGCTGGTTTAGAAAACTTTAAGAAATCTAAACCAATCTAGCTCCCCATGCTGTACTATTGACAATATTCAGCCAGAAACATAATTTTTAACTAAATAGGAAATAAGGACGTCCTACATTAATAAAAGTAAATTTGAGAGACAATTTCATGATTTCTGGTTTGAGAATTAACTCTTGACACAAAAATTATCATTTTAGTTCGAATGCAACATTTGATTAAACTTTAAAGATATAAATCCATGGTGTTTAAGGCAGAAAATTTTCTAACAAGAATAAATACAAAAAAAAAAACATTCCAGCATTTATGAACAAGATATGACTTTTTCATATCTTTTATTGCTCCTCATTTAAGACTGCTTGCTTTTTTCTCATGTATTTTTACAGAAATATATTCTCCTCACAAGCAATCACATGAATACGCTAATTCGAGAAAATTACTTCTTATCCTCGCAATTTACTTTGTGTAGCTTACAACATCGTGAGTTGAAAATATTTTTCATATGTCTCATTTTATTATCGCTACCTATCGTTTCTAATGCACAGAATGCTATGTTCCATAGCAATGTTTCTTTTATATTAAGTTCATGTATTTTTTTTGCCTACAAAGTATATTAAATTAGAGAGAAAATTTTTGAGGTAATTGAGAGAAAAGGAATAGAAAAATGGCATATTTATGATGTGATGCTCGCTTGGTGAAATTGAAAACTTTTTTGTGTTTTTGGAATAATACCAAAATGTGTCGAATCCATAAAATTAATTAAATCTTGTATAGAAAAATTTTATAACTTTTCTAGGTGCTCTTAGTACAATCATGATCAATAAATTGCATTTATGTTTTTAAAAATCTAAAACTCGAGTATTTGATAGCAAAAATTGTGTAATAATTCTTCTAAATCAACTTAATATATCTTTATCATATTTCAAGGGTGTAAACAGGAATTTTTTTTAAGGGTTGGATTTCACCTTTTTCCAGGAAAAACCCCTAGCATAATGAAAAAATATTCTATGCCTGGCTATGCCACTGTCATTTTTTTTTTTTGTAAAATACGATTTGCATTTTTCAGAGATCGAAGCCGATTTTTTCGGCTTAACTCAATTTTTGATTTTTTTGATAGAAAAAAGCCATTTGACACCCATTTCAAGTATTTAAATTGAACTTTACATGCTTTACTATGATTCTGTGTAATATTTTGTCAGCATGTAGCTATAGTGAGTTCAGAATTTCAATTTAGCCGATTTTAAGCCGATCGGCTTAAATTTCGGCTTAACATTCTTTAACTTGAAATTCTGAGCTTCCTATAGCTACATGCTGACAAAATATTACACAAAATCATAATAAAGCATGTAAAGTTCAATTTAAATACTTAAAATGTGTGTTAAATAGCTTTTTTCTATCAAAAAAATCAAAAATTGAGTTAAGCCGAAAAAATCGGCTTCGATCTCTGGCATTTTTAGTTGTGCATATATCATCATCAGAAAATATCCTGCTTATATGTAAGTATTGATAATATATCTCGGTTACAAAATCGATGCACAATCGTTGAACATAATTTATTTCTCATGTGAATGATACAAAAAGAGAGTCAGCAATATATTGTTTAATGAATTTGTTTATGTATTTTTCATTTTAAAATGTGAATATTTAATTTATCAAGGGGCCATTCACTTATTACGTAACGCTTTTAGGGGGAGGGGGGGTCTAAGATTTTGTTACGGTTCAAACAAGGAACTTTTTTTTTCATACAAATTTTGTTACGAGGGGGGGGGGGGGTCTAAGAAGTCATTTTTTCGCGTTACGTAATAAGTGAACAGCCTCCAAGGTCATAATTGTTCATAATAGAATTTTGGTATGCAGCAATTTTAAACAATTACATTTTTCATACCTTTTTATATTCACACCGTTTTCACGTGTGAATCTATTGTTCAGATTGAAAAATCAGTTTTTCGCATTTTGTGAGAAAACGAAGCAAAATTGGTTATAAAATGTACAAGAAGAAAAGTTTGCGCCTGAAATTTTACATCATTTGCAAAAATCAGATTTCAAATTGGTTTCGGCATTGCTGAGAAAATCGCAAAATACGCTTTCTGTAAGCAAACAAGCAAGCAAATTAATCAGCAAGAAATCTCAATAACGAGACATTGTAGAGACTTCTAGTTTTTTACATTTGATCCGTGCTGCTCTTTAGAAGAGCTGTATTGTTTTTGGGCAAGGTAGGAACAGCCGTTGCTTCAGAAAAAGCAAAAAACTTTCCTTTCTTACGAATTTTTAAAAACAAAAGTTCACTGTGATTTTTATAAAATTAAACTTTTGATGAAAAAAAAATTTTAAAAACTTTTATAGAATGTTAAGCTTTAAATCTTCAAACTTATGCTGAGCGAAGCTCAGCTGACTTGCTAGCTTTATACCTTCAAACTTATGCTGAGCAAAACTCAGTTGACTGCTTGACTTATCAAGCTTCATACCTTCATACTAATGCTTGGCAAATCTTGGTCTATCCATAAGACTTTTGATGGTACGGTGTGAATATAATCCGCATTGGGTTTCTACCCGATACACTAGTTTATCCCTTTTATATTTTGCAGTATGTCATTAGATTTATACAAAAATGTTTTTCTCGAATATCCTTATTAAAATGGTGTCATTCCAAGGGTTAACTCAAAAAGTGTCTGTCCAAATTGAGTTTATGCAGAATCGAATGACTCTTATATTAAAACTAATCTCATTAATTGCAAATTAAGAAGTTGTAAATAAAATTTTATAGCAGGAGACAATATAGAAGTAAGTGAAGTGAAAAAAAGTAACGGAAAATTAATAGAACCAAAAAGTTTTACGATATCCGACTGTAATTTTATGATCAAAATCTCGAGAATCATAAAATTTCCTTCATTTTAAATCCGTTTTTCATTGTGCATCATAAAAATAAAATCAAAAACATAAGAAAGGCATGGATGCTGGAATGGATGTTAACAAGAGAAATGTAGAATTCTCTTGACAGAATTTTTATGATTTCAAGTTTTTAAAGCACTACACTTGAAGTTTTTATCAACATTTTTAGAAGATAAATCAAAAACAAAAAATAAAAGAAACTTCTCGTAGTTAGCTGGAACTGCATAGTTTGTGGAAAAACTCTTGCAATTTTCTATGAAGGAATTAAGATAAATGTGAAAATGTGCAAATGTGGTGAGGAAATAAAAAAAAAATCTTTCCTTTTTTGTTTTCATTTCCATTTCTTCTTTCTCGTAATTAAAAACACCGCGGATGTGGCTTTCAGGTGATTTTTTATTGTTGTTGGTGTTGAAAAAAAAAAGTTTTTCCGCATTAAAACTTTTGAAAATTAAAATCTGAGAAGATTTTTTCAATTAAGGAATGGAATTTATTACTACGCAATACCTTCCATAATTAATTAAAACTTACTAAAATAAGTTTTTGTTTAATAATTAATCATAGCAGACAAACTGTTCCTTTGTAGACATTTGAAATATTTTGGAAGTAGGTAATGAGGTGTATTTAGGAGAAGAGATCTCCAACCAATGATTTTTCATTTTTTCCTTAAACAATTTCTTAACATCTTTTGAAAGAAAGTTGGACATTTCTCCCCATGCCCCTAAAAAATTTCTATCTGCGTCCTTAGACATGCACATAGAAGCATAACTAAAAGCATAAAACAAAAAAAAAAATTCTTCATAATGAATCAATGTTAAGCAAAAAATGGAGATGAAAAATTGTTGTTTCTCCTTGTTTTTGACATTAAAGAAACAGAAAAGTTTTTCGTTATATTTTTTTTTTGGTACACAAAAAGAGGAAAATATTAAAAGTCTTTTATTTATTTATTTGAGAAAGCCGAAAGAAGACAAAACGAAACAGACAAAGATAGAGCAATGACATTAAATAATTGCTTCTATGCTTTCAACTTTTATTCTCCTTAATTTTTTGGACACAATAATGTCCAATTTGATTATCCTGTATAAATAAAATAAAACAAAAGAAGTAAAAGCATTGAGGAACAAAAAATTATCAAATTTTGACAGAATAGTAATTAATTTTCTTGAAAGGATGTGTTTATTTCATCTAAATTCATTTCGATTGAACAAAACTTAAAAATAATATTCTTAAATCCTTTAGATCAGTGTTGTCCAAACTTTTTTGAGCCACGGCACACCTTTAGATCTTTCATTTATTACGTTCCCTTGGGGGCCATTCACTTATTACGTAACGCTTTTAGGAAGAGGGGGGGGGGGGGGGGTCTAAGATTTTGTTACGATTCA